CATCCCTTTCATCAAATATCTCGATAACTGTTTTTAAGTAGTATGCAGACCATGGCCAAAAGTTAGACTTAACTTTTGGAGTTGAGAAAAACTTCAACTTAAGACATATATCTTGATTTGATTTGTGTCAGTTTGGATTCAGTTGGTTCGGTTCGTTTATTTACCCATCCTTAATTAGAACTGTAACTAGAAAACAAAACACAATTATTAGTCCACTAAAACCATTTATAGGAAAGTCATTTCTAAAACGTTTTATTATTATTCTGTGTTTTAGACTTGTAGTTTATTCGGTTAAAGTGTTTCCGCTATTGAGCCATGTAACTTTATCATTCTTCAAAAACATATTTGACATGCCAGCAACTGTTAAGAGGAAGTGGTGTTTTCAACTACTAAAACTGGTATAAAAAGATTTTTAGTGGAGTCATGGTTTGTGCGTGAATTAATAACAAAGGTCAACGTAGATTGCGCAAAAACTCAAAGTTGGAATCCAAGGCAACAAGAGAGGATATAATATAATCAATTAATTTCCAACACCTTATCAGAACGCTCATATATAAAATCAAATGAGCCCACATTCTCCTGCAATAAAGTTCTTCACCTATGCAATTAGTGGGTCACCAGGGGCGAATCAAAAGATTATTTTCAGTGGGTGCACAAATGCTAAAATAGTTATAAACTTACATATGATTATAGGTGTAGACATCAAATTTGTTAAAAAAATATACTAAAACTTTAAATCATTGTGGGGGGAAATACAGGGGAGAATTTCAATTTTACCACAAGTGTGCTACCATTATTCATATATACACTTAGAAGGAAGACATTTTCAGAAATACCTAAATCATTAATAGGTAAAAGACAAAATACCCCTCTCATAAATTGATTATAATTTTCTATCTCTTTATCGAGAGAGTTTGACGGATTACGGCAACACGATGACGGCAACGGCAACGTGACGACGAGATCGAGCGTTGAGATAATCCAGAGTTCCACTTGGATGCGAGCAAGAACAACGCGAGAGAGAAGGAGTGGGGTGATGAAATCACGATTGTCTTTGGATCCTGATNAAGAACAACGCGAGAGAGAAGGAGTGGGGTGATGAAATCACGATTGTCTTTGGATCCTGATAGATTGCAACCAAGGTCAAGACTTGATCTCTGCAACAAAGCCAAGAACTTTCTTTCTTAAGATCCACAATCACGACCCCTGCATTGACACGAAGCTTCTCCTCTGATCCCTTAAAGACAAGTCGCCACCGAAGCTACCATGATAGGGTGTGTGAGATCGTGAAGGACGAGTGTGGTGATGACGTGGAGAAACATATGAGAAACTTGAAGGCCGAGTTTGGAGTTCTTAAAGGGAGAAGGAGAGAGAATACAGAGCAGAGGGAAGAAGAAGAAGAAAGGAGCCAAGAACCTCAAAGACAGCTCAATTCGAATAAAGGTTTTAACTTTCTGCAGATTCCTACTTGTTTCCTTAAGAAATGTATAAACTTGAGGGGAATTAGAGATTTTGTAGCAGAAACTATGTATTAGTTTGCTCTGTTTATGAACATGTGTTTGCTTAATCATGTTGATTAATTAGTTTGTTCGAAGAGTGTTATTTATTCTCAGGTGTTTGTCTTAACACTTAAGTGCCCATTCTTGTGCTTTGGTTTCACCAGCCAAGTCTCTCTTGATTTCTGCTTCTGCTGATTCGAAGAAGCCTCTTTCTTTGGTTTTGTGTGTGTTTGTTTCATCAGATCTCTCTCTGATTCAGTTTAAAGATTTGACTTTTGCTTATAAGAACCTCTTTGTTATTATGAGTTCAATTTTTCAAAATGTAGACATTATCAGCATCAAATTGGGTGACATAGTTCCAGCAGATGGTCGTCTCTTGGAAGGTGATCCTCTCAAGATTGATCAATCTGCTCTCACTGGTGAGTCTTTACCAGTAACCAAGAACCCTGGCCAAGAAGTTTACTCTGGCTCCACCTGCAAACAAGGAGAGCTAGAAGCTGTTGTGATCGCTACTGGTGTTCTTACTTTCTTCGGCAAAGCTGCTCATCTTGTAGACAGCACAAACCAAGATGGCCATTTCCAGAAAGTGTTGACTGCTATTGGTAACTTCTGCATCTGCTCCATCGCCATAGGTANAAGTTTACTCTGGCTCCACCTGCAAACAAGGAGAGCTAGAAGCTGTTGTGATCGCTACTGGTGTTCTTACTTTCTTCGGCAAAGCTGCTCATCTTGTAGACAGCACAAACCAAGATGGCCATTTCCAGAAAGTGTTGACTGCTATTGGTAACTTCTGCATCTGCTCCATCGCCATAGGTATGATCATTGAGATCGTTGTTATGTATCCTATCCAGCACCGTGCTTATAGAGATGGTATCGAGAATCTTCTTGTGCTTCTCATCATAGGAATCTCTTTTGCAATGCCAACTGTTTTGTCTGTCACCATGGCCATTAGATAAGCTTTCTTATATTTTTTGCTTGCCTTAATCCTGTTCCAGGCTTACTTCCAAAGAATCAGAAATACTGATTACAATTGAAATGTTAGTATATGGAAAAGAAATAAATTATTCAACATCTAATGAGATTAACTTAATGTCACGTTATCTTGAATATAATAAAATCTTATCATTTAATTGTGGAGTAAGATTCAGTTTAAAACTAAAGTCTGTGATGATCTCTGTTGCTTGAAAACTTTCTTGCTTGTGCACCGAACACAAACACGTGAATACTTTTTCCAAAATTACTAAACCTGCCACTACGAGAGCACATAATTTTTTTTTTTTTTTGTCAACGAACACAGAATTGTTTACTCTTTTAATATTCTTATAAATGATTTATAGACCCTTATAAAAACTTTCTATATATTCATATAAATGATTTTTGAGACTTTATAAAGCAATTACCTTTATAAATTTTTACAAATTTTTATAAATGATTTTATAAAACTTTATAAATATTTGGTATATTGTTATAAGTGATTTTATAAGGGTTTATAAATCATTTAGAGATTATAAAACCTTATAAATATTTGGTATATTGTTATAAGTGATTTTATAAGGGTTTATAAATCATTTATAGGAATATAAATAAACTATTGATAAAGGTTTATAAATGATTTCTAAATCTTCATAAATGATTTTTAACTCCATTTTACTAAAGTTTTTGCTGCTGCCTTTCCGGAAAGTGAATCAGACAATGATCTCGATGATGAATCAGACAATGATCTCGATGATGATCCTGTAGTGAGCAATAATAATTTTGCTTACTTTTGTGTTGTATGTTTAAACTTTGTGTTATAATAATGAACACTAACCCATACCTTATTAAAATTCATATTAGTCTTAAGACGTGTTTGCTTAATCTTTGTTAATAGCTTTATCTATCAGAGCTAATAAATCTATTTACAATTGGTTATCAAAACAGTTTATAAGGATTTCTAAATATATTATGAAAGTATAATTCATTTATAAGAGTTTATAAACCCAGTCTATAAGGATTATAAATAATTTATAAATGTTTATAAATCACTTATGATGATTTAGAAATCATTTATAAACCTTTATCAATAGTTTATATATTCATATAAATGATTTATAAACCTTTATAAAATAACTTATAAATTATTATAAGAGTTTACAAAGAGTGATGAATCTTTAATAAATGGTTTACAAAGGTTTATGGACTATTTTCTGAATTTTATAAACCTTTTTATAAATCATTTAAGAATTAACTTAATCGTTTTAAAGGGTTATTAAATTCATTTATATAGATTAAAAAGCATATTAAAACATTACTGATCATAACTCTCCTATATTTATAAGATTTAATAAATAAATTCATATGAGTTTATACAAAACTTTATAAGGGTTTATAAATCAATTTATAAGAGTTTATAAATCCATTTGTAAGAATAACATTCGATTTTCAGGAGAGCTTCTCAATTGTATTATTAGAATTATATAGGTTTAGAAATACCCTAAAAGAGTCTATAACCATTTAAAAAGACTTATAAAACAATTTATAATGGTTTGTTTATTACTTTGTAAGGGCTTATAAGGATATGTAAATAACTTATAAGAGTTTATAAAAATAATTTATAAAGTTTATACACCATTATAAAAGATTAGAAAACAATTTATAAGGGTAAGTGCAACAAAACAAAGCTGCTGTTCAATGTTCTTTTTAAAGAAAAACTGGAGCTTATGGTCTAGTCTAATCTAAAAGTTCAGTCTGAGTCAAATTTCGACGATACTAAATCTAGACCATTCAGTGGCAACTTAACCAGTTTGATTCATGCCCTTCAGATTGCATGTAATAAGTTCTCAGTGGCTCCATGTCTGCATTAAGCAAGAGTGAATTAAAAAGTGAAGCTTCTGTCGATAAGCAACTAAAACCTTATAAAATCCAGAAATCTTATAAAATTTTATATGTTGTTGACAAACTTTATGAAATAGATTTAAAATAAGAGTACATATAAAATCATTTATAAGGATTTATAAATTATTCATAAGGTTTAAAGTCATTTATAAGTGTTTATAAATAATTTATAAGGGTTTATAAAACATTTATTAGGTATCTACATTTATAAGAGTTAATATAGTATATATAAAAGCTTATATATTATTTATATAGGTTTATAAGGGTTCATTAACTGATTTATGAAATCTTATAAACTAATTTATAAGAGATTTTATTTAATTTACAAGAGTGTATCAATTAATTCATAAAGGTTTATAAATTGATTTATAACACTTTATAAAATATCTACTGGATTCTATAAGTTAATTAAAAAAAAGTCAAGTATTATTAAATATGCTAACAACATAAAGCATATAATGTTATTAATACAAACAGCTTCATAACAAGTGAAAAAAGAACATTATTGATAACAGACTGTTTCCACTAGAGTGTTCAACATCTCATGACTTTGTTGTGCCAAGAGCGTTTCTGAGATTAGAGTACTTAGTTTCAAGCTCATACCAATCACCCAAGTTCACCAAACGATTAAACTCCTCGAAAGTAATCCTTTTTTTCCAAATGATCTTTAGTTGTTCCTTTTTCCTTGAGGATCTTGAGGACGTCCACAAGAGCACGAGTTGATGCATAGAGTGAGGTAAGCAGGTGAGCGATCAAATGAAAACCCATTTCTTTAAGCTCATCAGGTGTATGCAATGGTGTGCCTCCACCTTCAAGCATGTTACATAGTCTGTAACCTTTTGTGCGCTTTTCCGATTTTCTTAAGCTCATCGTCGTCTCTTGGTGCCCAACAAAGGAAGCATCAGCTCCTGCCTGCAAATTTAATTCCAATCTGTCTTTTATTACCAACATAATAGAAGACATAATATGATCAAGTAGTAACCTCCATGTAGAGATTAGCACGGTCAATGGCGTCTGAAAGGCCTGTTTTTGCAGACAGAGCACGTGCATCTGTTCTAGCGATGAGGAAAAAGTCAGAATCTCCAATAGCGTCTCTTGCTGATGCTATCTTAGCAGCGTGCTCCTCTGCAGGTATGACCTGTTCCCCCAAGTTAGAAGCCAAATGTCATAATTTGGAACCATTAAGAACAGAACTAGAGTCATCTGCAATCTTTATGACTTTCAATTTAGGAATTTTGGGAGGTGGAAATGAAATCAATACCTCTTTTCCACGCATATGTCCTACACGAAAGACAATAGAGAGTATTAAAAGAGTTAATAGTTTATAATTATGTGGAGAGAGGAAGAAGAAGAAGATGATGTCGCTTGCCAAAACACCAATTTGACAAAATACGAAAAAAAGTTTTGAGTCCATTTCTAAGAAAACTTGTTGTCCAAGAAAGCCTCTACAAGAGTAATACCGACCAAGGAGAACAAGAAGGATCAATCAACAAGTGGATTGGGTTAAAGGGCTTACTTCAACCCAGTCACCTTCACTTGCCACAATCCTCTTTATGTAAACATTATTGGAATTGTAACCATGTTCCTGCAAAATTCAAAAGGAGATCATCAATACTTAGGCTCTGAAACATTCAAAAAGCAAGAGTTTCAATCTTTGACTTACCACCAAGATTGGAGGAGTCTTGAAGATTACTATATCTGAAACCTCCGGCTTCATGAAAATGTACGAGACCTGACCAAAACCAAGACAACACACAAACATTTCTCCAAAATGGTCAGACAAGCATGACAGCTTAAGTCTCTCATTCAACAACCCACTTATGTTACAATCTAACTATTGCGTATCTAACAACCTTCAACACAGTGCTATCAAGCTTAGTACAACAATTTATACACTTTCCATAAATATTGCATCCCTGAAACTAATCTAACACCATCCATAATCTATACAAATGGGCAAAGCAGAGAGGTAACTACAAAGTAAAAAGAAGTACCTTCTCAGCCATAACACGATCACCGACCGACGTCAAGCGTAGGATACATAGACGCGGAATGTATAGACTTCGACTCCGCAAGAGCTGACCTGAAAAGTAAAGACACCGCAACCACAGTAAAAGAAGCTTTAGCATCCTCAGAACACATACTCAAAAGCCTACTAACCCATCCGCTTCCTCCACTCAACCCCTTCTCATCGTCCTCATCCTCATCATTATCAAAAAATGCCGTTCCTCTTCTGTCCACATCATCAATCTTTACCTTATTCATCCACGGAATCAAAGAAGAAGACTTTGACGGCGAAACACCGAGAAGCGTTGACTCAGGAGCCGAAGATGTTGACTTAATAACCGAGATCAGACCCATCACGAGCGGACTCTGCCTCCCTTCTCCGATCACTTTCCTCGCGATGCTCGAGTACATCGAACCGGGTCAGATCTTGGGGGATTTGAAGAGATCGGGCTTGTGGGAGAAGAATCTGGATCTGAGATCCGCGCCGGAGCCGAGACGGACTCCGGCGGAGGCGGAGGAGGAGAAGTTGCGAGCGACATAGGAGGGTAAATCGAGGAGTCGTAGAGCAACGAAGGTTGAAACAATTTGATTAATTAAGGGTATTATAGTCTTTTGACTATCAAAAATTTAATGGTAAAGATGATTAATGTAAAAGTGAAATAGTGTACTATGAATGTGGTAGTTTTAGCAATTTCCCGAAATACAGCCATAATCCTCTACCTAGGTTCGCCAATGGGTCACACAAACTCTTATTGATATGCCCCTCCAAGTCTTTACATTTTTTTCAGTATTCAAAACATTCAACTGTAACCATATCCAGAATATAAGATTTTAGTATACACTAATATCACGATAGGATGATTATCGCATTATTCAGATACTATGACCTTATTTAATGTCATACTAGATTTTGATATGTACTTTTAAATCGTAAAATTATTTTTGAAACAAGCCAAATTTATATGATATAAATTTGCAGTTTTGACTATGTATAAAATGTTACACATGAAACGTTATATTCAGTGTTCTGAAACACAATCCGGACCCGTGGTTAAACCGACAAAAGTGATGATTCTATATGTAATCTAGTTTGTTTTTAAAATCGTTATTTAAAATTCTACAAAATCCGCAGAAAAATCGCTAAACCAGGGCCCGACTAATGGTTGAACCTATGAACAACCCATTATGTAATACGATTTGAATTAAACATTCATATTTAAAGTATTTTAATTTATGAATATTTAGATGAATGATGAATATATAATGAAATGTGATGCTCTAATTTTACAAAAGCTAGCCATACGAACTTTTAGTTAAACTAATTTATCATTTTATTGTAAATGTAATAGATGAATATTTGAGAGGATGCATACCAAAATCGAAATAGATTTGAGCATCAATGATTCTTATACGGTTATTATAATTTAGTGATTTAAGTTTGAAGTAAGTATAATTGCTTGTTTATTTATTGAGTTTACTTTTATTGTTCACATGTTATTAGAATTTTCTTGATTTTTTTTTGTTTTTTCAACTTTTAATTTCATGATTCATATTATACATTTTAATATTTGTTAATTTTCTTTTTATTATATGATTTTATTATATATGTATTAATAATTTTTATTATTTTGCTTTAAAGCGCAAGATGAATTTCTATTCAAAAATGTATTTACTGAAAAATCTTATACATATGTATCTTTTTATAGAAACATTTTTTAAAGTATATATAGTAAAATTATAATTTACATGAATATAATTTTATGAAAATAAGATAATTCATTTATATAACATGCCTCATATCAAGTTTACTTATACTTTTAAACTTTAAATTGTAGTATAAATTTTTTATATTGGTAAAAAATTATTATTTATTTTCCAGCATTATTATACAAATTAATTATTGGCATTTTACATGTATCATACTTGATAAATATATTAAATTATTTTAATATTTTAATTATATATGTATATTAACTTATGAAATTATTTATTAGTTTATATATTGTACTTTAAAAAAAAATTTTAATAAGTTGAAGTATGTTGTCAAATTCATGAATATTTTTTATTCTATTATTTTATAATTTATAAAAATAGTTAATAAATGGATTAAGTTACTTTAAAATTTTACTTGCTGTAGTAATTTAATTATGAATATAAGTTGTGTATATATAAATACTATAGAAATTTTACTTTTTATTATATAAATGATAAATGAATTAGTATTCATTATAATTATATTTAATATTAGTTATGAATTTTATTATTTAAAAGTAAATATTAAAAATAAATGTGTATTCACATTTTTAAATAAAAATATTTTACTTAAGAATATCTTTTTAGGTATCTTATTTTGAAATTAAAATAATTGGTTAAATATATTATAGATTTAATTATAACTAAGTTAGTTGTAGGAGAATAAATAAGAAATTAAATAAATGTAATGATCCAACCTAGACTACTTGCAAGTAGATAAATATTGATTTTATTTTAGTAGTATTGATCTCATTTTTTATTGCTATATAAACCTAAACACCTCTTATTTCATTCTATCATTTCCTATCAAAACTTGTTATTTTTTCCGAAATTCTATTGTAGAAAGACATTCCTGCTATATCATCTCCCTCTAATCAAATAAGTAATGTCCATGAAAGGAATCTCATCAGAAGAACCACATAAGACCTCCAAGAAAATATCTTTCCACAAACGCAACGATGCTCATTCCGGTGAGCTTGACGTTTTCGAGGCGGCCGTTTACTTCTCCGGCTACAACGAATTCTCCTCCGGCGACCACAGACACACACAAAAGTATGGCTATAACGCCGCGAGAGAGGAGAATCCAAGGAGATGGGGAAGAAGAAGAATAAGCTTGGATTTGCCGATTAGATGTTCAGAGCAGGTGTATCGTCTTTACCAAGATCATGAAAAGGAAGAAGTAACAACAACCAAAGAGATGATTCGTAACGTGAGACACAAGCAACCAAGCTCACCAGGTGGGAAAATCACTAGCTTCTTGAAATCTTTGTTTAATCAAGAAGGCTCAAAGAAGAATAAGTCAAAGTCAAAGCCAATGGATGGAGATGTGGAAGAGGAGATCCCTGGAGGAGGATGGATGAGGAGGAGGAGGAGAAGAAGCAGTATCAGCCATTTCTTGAGCTCAAGCAACTTCACTTCGACGAAATTATCAAAATCCTCGGGTTTCAGAACTCCTCCTCCTTATTTAGACACTCCCACCAAGAACTACAAGCAGTTCTTGAATTTCACTTCTGCCACAAAGCAAGTGGAGGTACTAGAGGAAAAGAAAATAAAGAAAGAGTTGTCTTGGCTTGATGAGAAACTTAAAGTGATGGAGAGCCTCACAGTGAAAGAGAAGGTTTTGGCTGACCATGATGGTGGTGGAATGGAGAGTGATTCAAGTTCTGATCTCTTTGAGTTGCAGAACTACGAGCTGTCTCGTAGAGGCTTACCAGTTTACGAGACTACCAGTGTAGCTAACATCAACAACACTCATCTATAAACCAAGTCTCTGAGTGTGACTTTTTTAGTTGTTCTTGTATAAATTATTTTGCAGCTTTTATGTAATTCTTTTTTATTTCTGGGATTTGATTGTGGAAGTTTTTTTTGTATGAGTTTTGAGAGTGGATTTGATAAATACCTAGTTTTCTTGTCTCTCATCACATGGATTTTTGTTTCCATCTCTTATTTTCTTTGTAAAAGATTTTGTACAATTTTGTTAATATTTAATCACCAGATTACGTAGTAAAAAAAATTCCGTTTCAGCAGAAATTCGATGAAGAAATTTCATTTTGGTACTAGCTCTCAACTTAACTATGCAAAGTTTCAAAAAAAAAAAAACTTAACTATGAAAAACTGGGGACCAACAGCGATATCCACTTGTGTGTTCAATTGCTCATAAACACTTGCATTTTAGGAGTTGATGGATATGACAAAGTATAATTAATGTTTAGGTAGCGAATTGATTTAACCATAAAGATTACCAATTGCTTTTAATAAAGTTATTAGGGTATGATTAACCCCAATTTCTTAGCCGTGATTGTTAACTCATGATTTGACAATTTTTTTCTTTACATATTTAGCTAAGAAACGGTTTTTGTATCTCTTATTTAAAAAAATGTTTTTATCTTTTCTTAATTAAAATCTTAAAAAAACTACTGTGTTTTAATCGAAGCAAGAATCCTAGTTAACACATGAACCGGTTTGAAGACATTCGAACGCAATCTTGCGTTCCTTTAGTTTGTTTAATCTATGCTTACGATTTACTAACATAATTCTCTTAAATTGACATATATCTGTAGAAATTTTGAAAACGAACTACAAGCGGATGAAGGGAAAATTCCTTAAAAATACACCAACTGAGTTTCTTTTGCTAAAAAAATACACCAACTTTTTAGACTTCCCAAAAAATACACATAGTAATTTTGGTTGTCAACAAAATACATGAACTTTTGAATTTTGAAGGTTTCACACCTCGATTTTAACGGCGTTAACTCTGATTAACAGAACATTTAGATGCCGTTAGACGACGTTAACTCTAATTCAAAAGTTCATGTATTTTGTGGACAACCAAAATTACTCTGTGTATTTTTCGGGAAACCAAAAAAGTTCGTGTATTTTTTCAGCAAAGAAAATTTAGTATGTATATTTTTAAGGAATTTTCAAAAATATACTAAGGTGGAAAAGACATTGATTTTTTTGTTTGACTGAAAAATGTAATTTTTGAATATATTTGTTCATATTAAGGACGGTTTTTCTAGGGTGAATTTGGATCTATAATTAAAATACGTGTAAAATACCAGTAATTTTTGGATATGTATCATGCAATAGAGAATGTGTTTTTGTTTGGATCGGGTTTGGGCCGGTTCTTTTCGGGTCTAAGATATCCGGATCTAAGAACCGGCCCAAACCCGACCTAAAGACCTGAACAAAAACACATTCTGTTCCACATGATACATATTCAAAAATTACCAGTATTTTCCACGTATTTTAATTATAGATCCGAACTGATCCTAGAAAAACTGGTCTCAATATGAACAAAATGAACAAAATATAAAGAAGCCAAAAAACACATTATTCATATTAGTACACACATTGTTCAAAATATATTAAAATACGTGGGTATTAATATGAACAATGTGTTTTTTTTACTTCTTTATATTTTGTTCATTTTGTTCATATTGAAGCCGGTCTTTTTAGGATCAGTTCGGATCTATAATTAAAATACGTGGAAAATATCGGTAATTTTTGGATCTGTATCATGTGGAAGAGAATGTGTTTTTGTTCAGTTCTTTAACTCGAGTTTGGGCCGGTTCTTAGATCCGGATATCTTAGATCCGAAAAGAACCGGCCCAAACCCGACCCAAAGACCCAAACAAAAACACATTCTCTATTACATGATACATATTTGAAAATTACTGGTATTTTACACGTATTTTAAATATAGATCCAAACTGACCCTAGAAAAACAGGCCTCAATATGAACAAAATATATTCAAAAATTACATTTTTCAGTCAAACAAAAAAATCAATGTCTTTGCAACCTTAGTTTATTTTTAAAAATTCCTTAAAAATACACATACTAAATTTTCTTTGCTGAAAAAATACACAAACTTTTTTGGTTTCCCGAAAAATACACAGACTAATTTTGGTTGTCCACAAAATACATGAACTTTTGAATCAAAGTTAACGTCATCTAACGGTGTCTAACGGCGTCTAAATGTTCTGTTAATCAGAGTTAACGCCGTTAAAATCGAGGTGTGAAACCTTCAAAATTCAAAAATTCATGTATTTTGTAGACAACCAAAATTACTCTGTGTATTTTTCGGGAAATCTAAAAAATTGATGTATTTTTTTAGCAAAAAAAACTCAGTTGGTGTATTTTTAAGGAATTTTCCCGCGGATGAACTCAGAGATGTAACTGAGCATTAAAGATGAAAATTGGGCGTCATATATGGGAATCAGACGTTAAAAAGGGATTTGATGTCACATGTTTTTGATGACTAAACCATTTTCAAAAAAAAAAAGAAAAAAGTTTTTGATGACTGCTTTTCCTTATTTGGCTCCTCTTCTAGCAAGGGCCACCGTAACTGGAATACAATTCGTATCAAGATATATCAGAACTATAATATAAAGAAAAATTGTGATCAAAGAAAGAAAACATATTTTTAAGCAATTTACAATTATTCACATTGGCGTTATTGTCAGAATTACACCTTCAACTAAATTATTCACCAAAAAAAATAGATCTTACAATTTTTTGTTGAATATATTATATAAAAAAATGTTTGTATGATTATAATGTATTCCATTTTAAAAATATAAAATTATAACGCAAATAAAAACGGCAAGTGGTGATTGATTGAGTTAAGCAAAAGCAGGTACGTGACTCATGTTTTTCACAATCCAAGCTCACTTCAGAAGAGATCAAATACTCTCTTTGTAAAAATAACTCTTTAAGAGCTTAGATTTTGAGTCTTTATCAAGTTTGAAATTTGTGGAATATGTCTCCAAACATAAATTGCTGAGTTGGGTTCCAAAAGTTAATTTAGTAAACGTTTTCAGTTCTACTTAAAAAAGGAAAGTTCCATATTATTAAAGAATCGAAACTACTAACACTTCTGGAGCTAGGTTAAACCATATCTCAAGTAACTACATTGCAAACCATCAAGATATCAAAGCAGCTAAGAAATGTCATTTTCTATGACTTGGACCTTTCGTTGCCGCAATGGCACTCCAGGGAAGAAACCAAGAGTTTTCATGCAAGTGTGGGATCTTGCAGACGTCACTAAACCGGAACTCGAGTTCTTATGCGGATTCAAGCCAACTAAAGAGTTCGATACAGTAGGTTTGTCCACTAAGAGCCAGAAACAGTGGAACAGCTTTGGCATGATAATGGCACTTCTAAGATCCATTACGATATTAAAGAACACAATAGTGCTGTTCTTGGAATGGAGGATGTTCTCATTACTCCTTTCACAAGAGATATGCCAGTATCTGGAGATGGCATTGCTTCAGGTGCCGTTTTTGGCTTTTCTTTTTCCGTAGCAGCTGGAACATATATAGGCCGTTGATTAATTGAACTACACTCTGTTACAGGTCTAACAAGAATGCTTACGGTTTAACCAGATCTTATAAGCGACAAAGGGAACTTGGAGGGTACAAAAAGACGTTTCTTGTTTCTCAAGAAATTGATATCTTTGTTTCGTCTGATAATCTAAAAGTATTTTAACTACCAGCAAAACAAACTTTTAGTGATAGTGAAAATATGTTAGAATTGCTTACGATGATGATGAAATATAAATGTAAATATATAAGCAAAGCAGTACACGATGGTACAAGGACAATAGACAAGGATTATTTACCATCCCCCCAGCTAGATAGACATTGACTCAGCTAAACCACATTCGCATGTATCATAACACATATCACATATATATATAGGAATTATTACTTCGATAGATTCTGCCTCCAACCAAAGAGATGGTATCAATTGTTGATCTCAAGGCTGCCCTTTTTGATGCTCCTTGTTTATGAATGCCATTTAATTATCGAAATTTGTTGTTTTGCTAGGTAACATTTACAAAGGAACATATATCGTTCTTGCACTTCTTCTTTTTTGATAAACGGCGTGCATTTCTTGCACTTCTTGATGAATGTTTGTGCCATAATCACATGTGATGTCTGCAGTAGCGGTTCTGAGGGGAAGCAATAGAAGCAGTTGCTTACGATCATCTTTATAATAAGTAAATTTTTGGTCGTTTATTTTGTAAAAAAATTTGTTCTTTAGTTGGTAAATTGCTCTGAGGCATTTAGAGAGGTGTTAGGTTCGAATCCTTCAGTACATTTTTTCGGCCTATTATTTATTTTGAGCTTCTGGCCTCAAATAGTTTAGGGCCGGGCTTGGATGTTTGTATCTATACAACCCATACGAACTTTCTTTGTTGAATGCTTTGTAGATATAGTATGGGGTTAATGTGTTTGGGAGCTTGTGGCCTAATAGTGATAAGAACACCTCCATTGAGAGTTCAAAAGGGGGTTCACACGAAAACCAAAAGAAATATATATATATATATATATATATATATATATATATATATATATATATTAAATCTAATGAATCCGTGTTGTGCAGGGTCACTAGGTGAACCCGAATCGACTATTTCGTGGGCTGCACGCCACCTGACGACCCGCGATTGGTCCGTTATTAATTTTTTTTATTAAAGTAAACGAAAAAAGAAAATTAATTTTTTTTGTGAACCCCTCCCCCATCGATTCGGTGATGCTCTAACGAGATGAGTTTGGAGCTCCAAAACAATTTAGGTTCGATGGTGTGCAAAACTAAATTATATTATATTCATAGAAACATATGAATTAAAAAAATTTCTTTTGGCACATTTCAATATTTAGAGAAAAGTCTATCTAAATGTTACACTTTACTTTTACTAGTAGTCTATTCTTCCATATGTCCGAGATATATCATGTTAATAAAAAAACAAGAAATATTTCTAACCATATATTGATTGCCTCCTTGCAAATAATAAAATCTCCAAAAAAAGAAAAATATTTTTTAAAAGGGTAATCAATGTATAATTAGATTTTTTTTTAATCTCTAAAAAAAGAAAAATATTTTTTTAAAAATAATGTCCATGTAAGATTTTTTTTTTTTAAAAAAAAATCAATACTTAGATAAGAACACAAGATTTTTTACTAAATTTGAAAATCCATTAAATTATTTTAGTTCACGAATTTAAGGCTAAAGACTCTTCATGATTAAGACTTGAGTTTTTTTCTTGGCAAAAGTAATAGGGTCAACAAGAAAATGATATAAAGGTCAAAGAAACATAAAAGCATCCACCTATCAAAATACAAGTCCGAATTTCTAATGCTGACCGACCTTTTCATTCAGGAATGCAAATATTCACTTTCCTTTTTTGTTTCTATCATTTATGGAAACATAATCTCTGCCAACCTCTCTTTTTTTTTTTGAACGAAAAAAGTTCTCTGCCAACCTCTCTAAAACCATTATATAAGCTCTTCTCCTCTCTTTGCTTTCTCCTCACAAATCACTCTCAGACTTCTTCAACTCTAATCACAACTAAAAAGCCTCCTCGAACTCTCCTAGGTTTGTAATATTTTTATTTTCTTGATCCGATAATTGAAAAGTTTTTAAGCGCAAAAATATTTTATGATGAACAAATATTTTGTTTATTTGAAAAAATGTGTATATTTAAAATATGTATTTAAGTCAAAAAAAAGTTTTTAATTTTTAATTACGGTTTTTGGATTCGAATCTTGATTATTTACGTTTGATCTGAATTATATTCTTCCCATTTCTTCAGGAAGTGTGTAGATATGGCTGCCGAGGAAGGTGTTGTTTATGATGCTAGCCAAGTCTCTGAGGCTTTTGTAGAAAAGTACTATAGTATTGTTGGTACGATGACTCATGAAGCGTGTAAGTTTTATGCCGACGATAGCCTTGTCACCAGACCAGGACCTGATGGTACTATCATGTCTTTTTCTTCCCTCGAGGTAAAAACAATGTCGTTGATATTGGTTCTCACGATTCTCCTTTTTATATTAGGTCAAATGTTTGTATTTATTTACTCCATGACATTAATTAATTGAACTAGTTATGATTGTCTTAAAACAAGACTTAAGACACTTTGTTTTTGTTTTTTTTTCTAAGAGAGTACAAGGTTCGTCGAAACGAAAAAATGATACAAAAGACACTTTTTCTATGTCTTAAATTTTATTCTAACAGGGACTTAATATTGTTTTATTATCCTTTGTTCAGGCTATTGAGAAGCATTACCTTTCCTCTTACTATGATGGTACAACAATCGATGTGGTTAGTGTTGATTCTCAGAAATCGTTGGGAGATGGGATTTTCATCATGGTTTCTGGTTTCTTGACTGGTAAAGATAACCTCAAGAGGAAGTTTATTCAAGCTTTTTATCTTGCACGTCAGAAGACTGTGAACCAAGGCTATGTTGTCGTCAATGACATTCATCGTTTTGTGGATGAGGAGTCCTCTACTACTACTACAAGATCTCTTCCAGCTGCTGCTGTATCTGGTATGTTGCCATAAGTCTTGTGCTTATTATATTTAAACTGATCAATATGGTTGAGAACTAACTCTTTAATGGGATGATACCATTGTATTGTGTTAGAAGTTGCAAAGCCACTTGAAGAGACAAAGAAGACTAAGCAGGCGCATAGAGCCAGGAAGAAGTCTGGTAAAGCTGATGAGGTTAAGAAGGTTGTTGCTCCTGAAAAAGTTGTTACTGCTCAAAAACCTAAAGAGCCAGTTCCTGACACAACCGTTGCTACTCCTTCTCTTGATGGAGCCAAGAAATCTTTTGCTTCTATGGTGAGTTTTCCTTCTTACAGATTTGACTTTTTACGCAAGCCATCTATGCCAAGACTAACTAATGTTGGGATACAGGTTCTATCAATGTCGAGAAACGCAGCTCCTTTTCAAGTTAAAGCAGCCCCGGTTGAGAAACCTAGTTCCCTGGCACAACCCAAACCCCATGCAGCTCCAGCTCCTGAAAAGAAAAAAGACCAGAAGGTGGTTGAAGAACCAGGTTAGAAGATGTTCATCAATTCTCTGTCAAGCAACTCTTTTGTCTTGTTTATTTTTTTTATATCATATGTTATTTTCGGTTACAGGCACTTCGATATTTGTGTCGAATCTGCCAATGGATGCAAGGTGGCCTCAAGTATATGAACTGTTCAAAGATTTTGGCCCTATCAAAGAATATGGAGTCCAAATCAGAAGCTCTAAGGGTAGTGGAAGATGCTTTAGTTTTGTCGCCTTTGAATCTGTTGCATCTGTCCAGAGTGTACTTAAGGCTGCCAAGAGAAGTCAGTTCAAGCTTGGGGAGCATAAGCTTCATGTAAAGGAAAAGCAAGTTTTTTTTGATGTGAGAAGTGAAGGTGGAAGCATGAGTCAGAGTGCTTCTATAGATGGAAACAAGACTCCGAGTGGCTCGGCAGATGGAAACAAGACTCCGAGTGGCTCGGCAGATGGAAGCAAGACTAAAGAAGGATCTATAGGTGGCGAAGAAAATGATAACTTCACGCTGGTCAGAAGGCGTAAGAGCAGAAGAGAGAGGAGCAGACAAGAATAGCCAAAAGAATCAAAGGAGCTCCTAAGGTTAAAGTTTGGTGCTCTCTGCAAACACCAATACAAGTACAAAGTTGATTATTTAAAGAGATAAGGGAAGAGCTTGCAACTTGAAATTATTCCGGCATTACATATTCATATCTCTTTACTTTTGTTTAAGTCTTTGTCCATAAAAAGAACTTTGTCTTACCTTATGGGGCTCAACATAAATCTCAATATAAGTCTTATGTTCTTTTGTCTTCAGTCAGGCAATTTCTACAATTTTATTGCTTATATTCCAATTTTCAATTAGAATGTCAACCGTCAAATTAAAGGTGTCAATTGGGATGATGCAGCCCAAAACATGCAAAGATATTTAAAAATAATTCGATTTACAAGTTTTAAACCTTTGGATAATTATGCATTACAAACTATGAGAAATTACATTAGATGATATTACAGCCGACAATTCTACCTGTCTTATGCGGATTCACGTCTGATTGCATCACCCTGAGCCGCTCTATAATATCCATTCCTGAAGATATGCAAGATGAAGAAAAGCAAGATACAGTTGTTAAATTTAAAATATGAATCTTGTAATAATTAAGTAATAAAGTCTATTAGTATTTTTTTATATATTTGTTTTGTTCGAATTTGGATCATAAATATTAAAATATGTCAATTTCAAGAGTGCTTCTATTTGTAAAAACAAAATTTTCAAACTAGCTAGTAAAGTTTCAAATTTTGGGGGCCATTGACTTAAACCCAAACTATCTAAAGCTTAATAGACTTTTTAAGTAGAAAGCAAAAGCAGATATTATCGTCAGTTTAAACCCTTAAATTTCAGTCTCTATCTAAACTATAGATTTTTCCTGCGCTACGCGCAGACTGTGTATTTTGAATTTGTTAAATTAATTTTATAACTACTATATAATATTTTGTTTGAGTATGTTCTTATTTTAAAAAATATTTTACCAGTCCTAATTTTACCAGTTTTTTTTAAAAAAAAATCCACATTTTTGCTTAGTTTCTGCTATAAATTAAAATATAAATTTCTAATTTTTGTTAATCTTTATCACAACCCTTTTGTTATTATAAATTAGACTAGCAATTTACAAAATCAGGAAAATGAGTGATCTCACTAATACCTTGAAAATAAGGAATATTTTTTTTCTGTACCACTAATTTTCACCTATCTCTGAAATTTGTTACAATTTTAGTTTAGACTCACTGTGTACTTTTTTGTTTGAATATGCCTTTGTGACAAAATATTTGCATAATTTCTTGCTTAGTTTTCTAATATAAATTAGGATTATAACTTTCTGATTTTTTTAAAATTTTTATCATAACACCTTTTTCATATACTCCCTCCATTTATTTTAGTGTCGTTATAAGTCGTTCACACATATTAAAAAACATTTAATCTTATATATTTTCAAAATAAATAAACTATTACTTATACACCTAGTCACATTACAACTAATAAAAAATAGAAAAGCATATAAACTCTATAAGTTCTACATTGAAATTATAAAACAACATTTATTTTGAATAAAAAAAAATCTCGAGAATGATAAATAAATTAAAACGAAGGGAGTATTATATTTGCAATCTACAAAACCAAAAAAAATGAGTAGTCTGACTAACACCTTAAAATATGGAATGTAGTTTTGCATTCTTTTTTTATACTTTAATCTTCAATTATCTCTTAAATTATTTTTTTAGTTTTATAACAACTATGAAAAATTGTTTTTGAATATATCGTTATTGTTTAAAAAACTATTAGTTATATTTTTAAAAGGCTTGACAAAAAATTTGAATAATCTCTTGTTTAGTTACCTGCTATAAATTAGGAGTTTAACTTTCTAATTTTATTTTGTTAATATTTATTACAGCACTTATGTTATTATAAATTAGATTTTCAATTTTTAAAACCAAATAAAATGAGTAGTTTCACTAACAACTTAAAAAAAAAAGAACTTAATTCTGCATTCTTTTCTATATTGTTAATCTCTACTTATCTCTTCATTTTGTTAAATTCCTAGTTTTGTAGTCAGTTTGTAGTTAATCTCTACTTATCTCTTCAACTTATACTATAGGATTTTGTTTTTTATTCGTAGCCTCTTACTCTTAGGATAAATCCTGATAAAATAAAAAAAGAACTCATCTGTTTCAAGATTTATTCATACAAAATCCGAGAACTGTTATTTTAGAAAAATATTTACAGAAAACTAAATAAAGAATTTAAAGAAGATAACTCATATGGACTACACGGAAAGATTTAAAATCCAACTAACAAAGACCATAACAATTTGGAGGAAAACAAATTGAAGTCCAATCGTTAGTTAAAGACTTGTTGACGTGACCGAAAGTTAAAATCTATGGGACGATTAAATTTGTTGATGTGTCAACATGACATGAGAGATTATCTCCCTTTTAATATTGAACTAGGTGTCGACCCGCGCCCTGCGCGGAGTGAGATTATTTTGACTTTGATCAAACAATAATTTGGTATATTAATTTGTTTAACTAAAAATAGATAGTGGATGTGAATTAGTAATAAAAATCATATAGTCATATAATGAGATATTAGTATAGCTGCGAAACGAAGCATTGATTCATAGCTATTTGTTTTCACTTTTTGTCTTATATATCTATTTGTCTTATAGATACATGATGATACAAAAAATTTAAGAAATCGTCTACTAAAAAAAGTAAATAAATTAAAATAATTAATATCATAATAAAACATAGAGAAACAAAACATGATATAATGAGAAAAAATAGATTAAAATAAAATAATAAATAGAAAATTAAACATGATATAATAATTTAAATTGTCTTCAAAACTCTTGGTTTGCAATCCTACATACAAAAATAACAATTAGTTAGTTTACGAAACAACACACACTCTTTTAATATTTTAAACTCATCGAAATGATATACTTCTTCCTCAATGCATACGTCAAAAAGAGAAATAGAATAAAACTCGATCATTTCTAAAAAANGCTGATTGACATTCAAATGGAAAGAAACCATTAAACCGTTTACCTAATAAAAACATTCCGATATTTAGTTGCTAAAATTATGTGACTGAAATATATTCATTCATATTAGAAATATCTATGCAGATTCGGTCATTAATTTTAGTTGACATTCAATATTCGAATACAATAACATCAATGGTTAGTGCATATAAGGGAAACTAAAATACGCATGCAGATTCGGTCATTAATGTTAATTGAAGTTGAAGATAATAGTATTTTGTACATCGAATATTGTCGAAATATTTTATAAAGTTCGCTTTTATAAAATATAAAATATTATATTTAAAATTTAAATATATGCCTTATTATGAAATAGAATATTAATTCAGAATATTATATATAGCTGATTGACATTCAAATCGAAAGAAACCATTAAACCGTTTACCTAATAAAAACATTCCGAGATTTAGTTGCTAAAATTATGTGACTGAAATAGAATATATGCCTAATTATGAAATAGAATATTAATTCAGAATATTAAATATTATATATAGCTGATTGACATTCAAATGGAAAGAAACCATTAAACTGAAATACGCATGCAGATTCGGTCATTAATGNATTAATTCAGAATATTAAATATTATATATAGCTGATTGACATTCAAATGGAAAGAAACCATTAAACTGAAATACGCATGCAGATTCGGTCATTAATGTTAATTGAAGTTGAAGATAATAGTATTTTGTACATCGAATATTGTCGAAATATTTTATAAAGTTCGATTTTATAAAATATAAAATATTATATTTAAAATTTATATATATGCCTAATTATGAAATAAGGTCGCATTTTTTTCCTATTTTTATTTATACTTATGTAACGAAATATATTTTGAAGTTGAAGACAATAGTATTTTGTACATCGAATATTGTCCAAATATAAAATATAAAGTTCGATTTTATAAAATATAAAATATTATATTTAAAATTTAAATATATGCCTAATTATGAAATAAGGTCTCATTTTTTTCCTATTTTTATTTATACTTCATGTAACGAAATATATTTTGAAATATATCGTAGGTGATGACAAAATACTTATATCAGGAAATATATCATACTTATGTAACAAAATATATTGTATCGTATATAAGGAAATATATAAGGAAATATATAAGGAAATTTAATTAACTATATGCCGAGTATATGCATGTCATATATCATATATGTCATATATGTATATTTCTATCAATGGCATGTTGTGTAATTATTCTAGTTAACTAAGGTCTTTTAGTTAAAAGATGTGAGAAGGCTTGTGGAGTTGCCACGTAGGAAATGGCATACATGTAATAAACACATGAACTAAAGGTTTATTTGCAAAAGTTCTCCTCAAATAATAAGAAGAGGATAGATGTTATCGTTGAAGATTCCTCATTTATTTTATAGTTTTTATTATAGGAAGAGGTATATCTTTGTATTTGAAAATCATCATTACACATAACACATAACACATAGCACATATATACATGTATATAGATATATAATATATATATCTACAATAGGTTTATTTCGAAAAGTTTGAAAGTTCTATACTTTTATTAGATAGAATATCGGTCCAAAATATTCTTTAAGGAAATACCAAATTAAACTCAAATATTTACGAAAGTTTGAATTATATTAGTCCAGTTGACAATTTGACATCTCTAATACTATGATTCTTCTTTTTGCATTTATTGCAGTGATATTTTATCATTAATCATTCAAAACAGACAGTATTTCTCCTAAGTTATAGATTATCTTCTTGCAAATAACAAAATCTCAAAAAAATAAAAAAATAATAAATTTTATTTAAAAAAAAAATTAATACTTAGACAAGAACACAAGATTTTGAATCTATATTTCAAAGTTCATAAATCATGTGGATGGCACCGGGTTGTAAAAAGTGTATTTAACTTAATTTTCTATTTATAATTATATATATCTGACAATAATAGTTTATGTATTTTTCAAAGATAAAGCAATGAATATAAAAAAAATTGTATCTTCTAAAACAAAAAAAAAATTGATATAAATGTCATTTTCCTCTTTTTATTTAATTTTTATAGTTACATTAAATATAGATATATCAAAAACAGTTACCAACTAAAATTACCCCGCATATTTATTGTTCAAAAAGTAAGACTAAATTTACAAGAAATCTAGAAATCATTAACTAAATAGTCCACGAAAGTCGACAAAAAGAAAATATAATCTCAAAAAAGTTTGATATATTTTTTTGGCAAGGGTAAAGGTTAAGAAGAAAACAGAAAAGGATGTAAAGGTCAAAAACATAAAAACATCCCACCAATCAAAACACAAGTCCAAGTGACCGACTTTCGGTCAAATATATATAAATATTCTATTTCCTTTTTGGTTCTCTCCTTTTATGGAAGCATAATCTCGCCAACTTCTCTAAAACCCTTATTTAAGCTCCTCTCTTCTCTTTGCCTCCTCATCGCAAAATCTCGTCTTCTTTAACCTAATCCAACTAAAATCTTTTCCTCTTTTCTTTGAGGCTAGCCTTCTTTTAAATTGATGAAAGATTGAAAGTATAGTAGATATAACCTTATTATAAAAAGAAAAATCCAGGACGTGTGTAGATATGGCTGCCGAGGGATGTGTTTTTGATGCTCGCCAAGTCTCTGAGGATTTTGTAGAAAGGTACTATCGTATTGTTGGGACGATGACTCATGCAGCTCATGAGCTTTATGCCGATGCTAGCCTTGTCACCAGACCAGGACCTGATGGTACTATGATGTCCTTTTCATCCCTCGAGGTAAAACAGTGTCCTTGATATTATGTCAAAATTTGTATATTATGTTAAGGTTGCCTAACTAGATTCATGAGATATTTCCACTATGACATTAATTACACTTTATGCTGAATCTAGTTGTGATTGCCTTATTAACTCTTGTCTATCTATAATCTAAGAGAGACTTGATATTGATTTACTATTATCATCCTTGGTCTAGGCTATCAAGAAGCACTACCTTTCCTCTTACTATGATGGTACTACATTCGATGTGGTCAGTGTCGATTCTCAGAGTTCGTTGGGAGATGAGGTATTCATCATGGTTGTTGGTTTCTTGACTGGTAAAGATAACCTCAAGAGGAAGTTTTCCCAAGCGTTTTATCTTGCGCGTCCGAACGGTGTCTATGTTGTCGTCAATGACATTCTTCGTTTTGTGGATGAGGAGTCCTCTACTACTACAAGGACTCTTCCAGCTGCTGCTATATCTGGTATGTTGCCATAAGTTTTGTGTTCATTGTATTTGAAAGAGAACTATGCTTGAGAACTAACTCTTTAATGTGGACTACCATCAGAAGTTGCAAAGCCAGTTGAAGCGGTAAAAAAGACCAAGCAGGTCCACAAAGCCACCAAGAAGTCTGTTAATGCTGCTGAGGTTAAGAAGGTGGTTGCTCCTGTTACTGCTCAGAAACCTAAAGAGCCAGTTCCTGAAACATCAGCTGCTACTCCTTCTCTTGATGGAGCCAAGAAATCGTTTGCTTCAATGGTGAGTTTTGCTTCTTGCAGATTTGACTTTTTACTTGGGCTAGACTTAGCTAATTAATGTTGGGAATACAGGTTCTATCAATGTCGAGAAACGCTGCTCCTCTCCAAGTTAAAGCAGCCCCGGTTCAGAAACGTAGTTCCGTGGCACAACCCAAACCCCATGTAGCTCCAGCACCTGAAAAGAAAAAAGACCAAAAGGTGGTTGAAGAACCAGGTTAGAAAATGTTCATTCATTGTCTGTCAAACAACTCTTTTGTCTTTGTCTATTTTTGTATATCATATGTGGTATTTTTTGTAGGCACTTCGATATTTGTGTCGAATCTGCCAATGGATGCAAGGTGGCCTCAAGTCTATGAACTGTTTAAAGGTTTTGGTCCTATCAAAGAATATGGAGTCCAACTCAAAAGCTCCAAGGTAATGGTCTTTCTTCTTTTATCCACATCTCCTAGTTTCCTTTCATTTAAAACATTTTTCCTTATTTGTTTCTAGGCTACTGGAGGATGCTTTGGCTTTGTTGCCTTTGAATCTGTTGCATCTGTCCAGAGTGTGCTTAAGGCTGCCAAGAGCAATCAGTTCAAGCTTGGGGAGCATAAGCTTTTTGTAAAGGAAAAACAAGGTAAGCTTTCTCTTTCTTTGAACCCTCCCTTGTGTCAGTTTCTTGCGTGCAAGTCTTAATGTTTCCCTTTGTTTTCTTTCTGCAGTTGTTGTGTATGATGGAAGCAAGCCGTCTGGTGTGATAAGCGGGGGTGGAAGCAAGAGTCAGAGTGGCTCTGTAGATGGAAGCAAGACCCAAGGTGGCTCTGTAGATGGAAGCAAGACCGAGAAGGGCTCTGCAGATGGAAGCAAGACTGAGAATGAATCTGTAGGAGGCCAAGAAGATGATGACTTCAAGCTGGTCGTAAGCCGTAGGAGCAGAAAGAAGAGACAAGATTAGCCAAAGAATCAGTCAAGGAGGAGCTTCTAAGGTCGAGAGTAACAGTTGCTTAGAAAAGTTATCATTTGAGTATAAATAAGGGAAGAGCTTGTAACTTGAAATTATTTCGACATTACAGACTCGCATCTCTTCTGGTGTCCAAAAAAAAAATCTGTATTAAAAACTTCTTTTAAGTCTTTTTTGTTTTACTCCTTATGGGATTTCGACATAAATCTTCTGTTCTTTTTTTTTATAGTTGAAAAAACAGTTGTGCGGAAATGATCATGAGATATGTGAAAGGTTTGGGTAATTCTCATATCAGTGCTGAATCATATGGTCAGTGTTACAGTGTAGAAGATCACTTTGCAAGATAACGTCATACTGTTGTTGTAATGCGGTAGCTAGTTCACGAAGTGTAAACATGTATAAATGTTGGGCTTTTGACTTTAGTTAGTGGTAGTAAGTAAATATGCAATGATGCTCACTTATTCCTGTAACAAGATTTGTTATTTCATTCTCCTATGTTCTACTTTTGTTTTCCTCTGTGCTGATCCGTGTATATTCGTCTTGATCACCTCGCTAGCTATCCATCTCATCTGTTACTTCCCGTAGTAAGCAAAGCTGATGGTAAAACCACCAAAGCTAGAGAGAATTCCCTTGGATAGCAGAAGAAGAAAATATAATTTGGGAATATATAATACTACCAAGTTGATTGGACTTTAGATAAATCACACGCGAGAATCTCCACACCCACTTGGACACGTGTTACTTGTCCGATCTCTGACATGCTCCACGTTCCCGCAACAGTTGTTTGAGGGCATTTTCGAAGTTACCCGAAAAGATGTCTAGCTCGGCTGTCACAGTGTCACTGGTCTCCTAAATTTCTGAGCTGGCCGCGTGTGGGGACTACGTACATTACCTCACACTACGAGTCTGCGATCAACACGTTTTCGATTAGGGGTAAAAGAGGAATCGGCTCTCTTAGAATTTTATGATATTGAATGAATGACAATCTTCTCTTTTGAAGTGTCAATCTTATATTTGATCGTTGCGTTAAGGTTAATTCATCCATGTTAATTCAGTAAGTTCAAAAAAAAAATCCATGTTAATTCAGTTATCAATTATGAATTGTAACCTTATAATAAAGTCAAAATTAGCATAATATCACAACTATTTACAGATTCAAAATTCGATGTCAATTAGACTATCCTGTGTTGATTAAAAATAAAAAACAGACTATACCATAAAATTTATTTCCACAAATTTTCATGTAATAAAGTGTTACTGAATGAATAAAATTTTACATTATTAGTCAGAAATTAATAAGCAATATAATAAAAAAAAAGTTAATTAATTTTGAAAACTATAAGACTAATTAACCCAAATTAACTGTAAAAAAAATAAGATATTTGTTGATGTGATTTTTTGGGTTTAAACTCCATGAAATCTAGATTCATATCAGATGTCTATAATTAGAAGAATATACTTCACTTATATGAGTTCATGAAAATTTTTTAAAAGAAAATCTGAAATACAATAAAAGCATCGACTGGGCATATTGAAGTATTAACCAGAATATATATATCTGGAAACCACTAAATCACTAGCACTTAATTTAAAATATTGAAATTTCTTTCGTGAACAAAATGAATCACCCTGAGCTAGATCTTCCATTAGAGAACAAATCTTATGGGTATGATATAGCACATGGATGAAACATTAACATGCTTTGTACATTTCAGATTATTAAACGAAGAATCAGGAAAAAATCCTTAACAACATAGTCAAAAACTATACAAAACTCAGAAAAGATAGCAAAAAAAAGGTAGGATTACATCAAGCGAAAAGAAAGATACAACTTTTAGTATGTTCACAGATTATAATTTCTATAATAAAACCAAATTAAAAAATGAGTAAATAAAAACGTCAGGCATGACCTCTAAGAGACGGGGATCTCTATATATAAACTCTCTTACATAATGATCCTAATGGTGTTTTTCATGCAGCTAGAATGTTCCTTTCTACAATGAAGGTATTTTGATTAGTTAAAATCTGACCCAGTAGCTAGGTTCTCGGGACCTGACATGTCATTCTGGTCATTCAGATCAGTATGTTAAGGAGAAATGTCAAGATCCTAAGAATTTCGGAGCATAGCATGTTGATGTAAGATGCGTGAATCTGTTCCTGTTCTGGTATTCCAATAATCCATATGTCCATCGATTTCTTTGTGCGCTATGATGCTAACGAAACATCTACATGTCTCAAGATCAGGGTCTAATCAAAATAGTGGTCCAGAAAATTAGCTTGATGTAAAAAGAGAGCTTTAAATAAATGCAAGTTATATATATTTTTTTTTCTTTTTTTGTCACGAGCAAGTTATATAAATTTTTAAAATAATCTTAATTCACTGATTGAACCTAATAATATATGAATAAAAATATGTAGCTCATAGCTAGTAAATTATTTTTAGAAAAGGAAACTGAATTGTTGGTATACTGGTTCCAACTATCTCAACCTTGTATATACGCCACAAAAAAAAATATACGCCACAATGAGTGTGTGTTTAGTTATGAATCGTTCACCTAAAAAACCTTTTCAACAGAAATAAACTTTTTACCTGAAATTTGATTTGTGTTTTAAAGTAGAACACATTAGCCGAAGTTAAAAACTTTTATACTTGTATTGCTGACAAAAAGTATTGGTACTGTTACATATACTGGAATATTATGTCTTTTACATAGTAGCATAGTAACATACTACCATCGTACGAGATGGATATGAAGAACCTTAGGGCACCATTAACATAGATGCTTAATAAATTATTTTATGATTTTTAGATTTTAAAAAAAGTAATTAGAGAAAAAGTGGTGTTTAATTAAACCTCGAAAAAATGGTGCTTATTGCACGTGTTTCTCTCTCACTTCATCATTGTTGGACTTCTTTTTTTTTTTGTCAGAAACAAGACGCTGAAAAACTTATCTTGTTCAATTCTCTGCTTCATGCTATTCCATTAGCGAAACTCCTTTGTCCTTACTTACTCTACGACCAAGTCCAACAATTCACTTCATGACGGATCACGATCAGTGATTGCCTCCTTTCGATAATTTCACATACTTATTTCTCAGCAAAGCAACTTTGAATCTTTGGTTCGTAGTGGATCCATGGGTTGACGCTAAAACTAGGTTTTGAGTTATATGTCTACGTGCAGACATCATATAGAGTTGATGCTTACAAAGTGTTCGACGAAATGCCTGAGAGAAAATCTGTAACTTGGAATGTGATGATCACTGGCTTAACAAATTTGGGAGAGTTTGAGAAAGCTCTTTGCTTGTTGGAGAAGATGTTGAATCGGACCGTAGTGTCGTGGACCACTCTCATTGATGGCTAAGCACAAGTATATAAGCCCATGGAAGCTATACTCATCTTCTGGAGAATGGTTTCTTGTGACGCAATTAGCCAAACGAGATCACCATTCTCGCGATTCTCGTGTCACTCAGCTCTCTTAGACTCAAAGGTTTGTTTGTTTGTTGTTTATGCTTGAAAAAAGAGAACTTTGGATTTTGATTGTTATGATGATATAATAAGTATGTGATGGTTTCTGCAGGGCGTTTTTGTACAAGGGATTTCTAACAGATAAGGAATGTGATCATTTCATCAACTTGGTACTATCAAATCAGTCATCTTGTTGAATTTTTTTTTGTTTGAGAATTTAAGTTAGTGATGATCATTGAATGTTATGAGACTGTGTGACTGAATTCAAATACTTTGTGTTTTAGGCGAAATGGAAGCTTGAGAGTTGTAGAATATGATGGAATCCGCCACTAGTTTCGTGGCGATATCGATGGAAGAGAGGATTGTTCCTTGAAGCTTCTTCCAGTTTCCACTTTTTGGATTCCGTACTTCTCCCAATCAATCCCCTTGTCCTCCCACTGATCGTGAGAGGTAGTTACACACTCTCTTTCTCTTCTTCCTAAGGTTTTTTCGTTAATGTGTGAATCTCTGTGAAGCTTTTTTGGATCAAATTAGATTGATTCCAATGTGTAACCACGCAATAGCTTCTACACATCCATTGGGACTCACATTCACATTTCTATATATATTATTCTGGTACTAGTTTGAATTGTTGCAAGAGAGACAGAAGTTGGCTCTTTTTCACACCTTATGCCACATTGAGTCATGGCAAGCATAACAATCATCTGAGCACGGATAAGAGAATAAGTGAAAATCAAATCAACAGGTATGTTTCTGATCCTCTTCCCTGTTTGGATAGCTTGTGCAATACTTTTCTCAGTTAATGGAACATCAACACAACCCGTGAAGAGATTCTTCTATGTCCTATTGTGTTGTTATGTGTAGTGTCGATGTGGTACTGAGTCTTGTGTAGTTGTGTCATGTCTTCTTAGTCTCACGGACTTTTAACAAGAGTAGTAAAGAAACATTGGCATCATGTGTCACAAAAATACATGTTATCATGTAAAGAAACAAGTGAAGATGTTAGGGCTGGAGGAGAAAAATGGTGAAGTTTCTTAAATAGAATGCTTAACACCCATTTATTAATAAAAAATGATTAAGCATTTTATTAGAGGTGCTAGGGTTAATGGTGTTTTTAGAGCATTTTTATCTCAAAATGCTTAGAGGAGTTTACAAAAAGATTAATAAAATAATGGGGTGGATTCAACTTAATTGAAAAAATCGATATCTTGGCAGTTTATATAAAGCATCGATGTTATGTGTTGTTTGCACTGTTCGCGAATTTCTCTGATATATGATGATCTGCTATTGATTTGTTTTTTAATTTGTTTTTAAATATTACAAAAAAATAAATACCTAAAAGGGGTTTCTTAGTTAAAGATGCTGTTAACCGTTCTTCGGAATCAGACTTTAACATAAGAGTGATACACGTGTCCAGTACGTCAACAACACGTGTTAGCTTCCATCTTTTACTGTAACGGCGACACGTAAGTAGCCAGCGAATAATAAACAATTTTAAAATGGCATTGTTTTGCGTTAGAAAATAGAGCAATCAATAATAGGGCGGAAAAGGAAGGGGACAAGGAGATTTAAACAATTTATTTAAAGATTTAAAAAACTCCAAGCCGTACTAAAACGTGTCAACGCCAGGAGTCATCTGATTGACACTTGGCTATTTTTCTCTCCCTGCTCTCTCCTGTCTTTTTCATTCATTGGCTATCTCTATTCTCGTCGCTTTTTTTCTTCTACGTGCCCAACATCTATATATTCTCTTTTATTTAAATAATTAAATATAGGTGTAAAAGTATGTTGATGGTAGATAAAATATTTTTATACCGAGATTTTCTTTTTAAAAAAAACTCTATGGACTTTTATTGTAAAGTAGAACACTATAAAGTTTCACTTAAATTATTTTTATTCTTAATTTAAATTATTTATTTAAAATTTAGTTTATGTTTGTTAAGTTATTTTGGTTAGATAATAAAACCAATCCCTAATTTTACAGTTAGTTTTCATATATTCAAATACAGAATATAAATATTACTAATAATTTTTAGAAAAATAAAATGCTTTAGAATTGAAAATTTGGGATCTGATTGACTGTTTTTCTCATTTCTGATAGACTCGAATCGATTATAATTCCTTTTTGAGGTAAAAAAAGAAATAAGCAGAAAATAGAAAAAATCATTACGGGGGATGTTGGTAGTACTTTGAGCTAAACAGGTAATTATGAAGTGAAATGGAACTGAATATTCAGTGTTCTCTTCTCTGTCTCATCCGTTGAATATGTAAATACTCATTTAGGGAAACAAATTAAAGACAAATCTGGAAACTTTTCTTTCTCTGAGATATTGGATATGTGATCAAATATCTAAAAATCTAGTCTTTTGTTTACTCCGACCACTGTTACATAACACATCTCTCTCTCTCTCTCTCTCTGCAGTTACTCCTTTCATGGCGGAAGCAAACAAGACAAGTAGAGAAATAGCAAGAAGCAACAGTTGTGTGTTCCCAAGAGATCTGCTTCAAAGATTCATCTCTAACTCAGCAGAAGGTGAAGATGGTGAAGAAGAGGAAGAAGAAGAAGATGAAGAGATTGAGTTGAATCTTGGCTTATCTCTCGGCGGGAGATTCGGAGTTGACAGAAGCAGTAAGCTCGTGAGATCTTCCTCTGTTGTAGTGACGATGCCTCTTTTCCGGGAGACTCATCATCAGCCGGAGACGAAGCCTGCTGAGACGGCCGTGGCGAGACCGAGACATACTGGTTTGATAAGAACGACGTCGTTGCCGGCGGAGTCGGAGGAAGAGTGGCGGAAGAGGAAAGAGATGCAGACTCTTAGGAGAATGGCTGCTAAGAGAAGGAGAAGCGAGAAGCTTCGTACCGGCGGCGGAAACAGCATCAAGTCAGCCGAAGCTGATAATAATAATAATAATAATAATCCGGGAGAAGCCGCCGCCGCCACTTCGAGGCGGCGAGGTAGACCGTCGTCGGGACTGCCACGGTGGTCAGCGACGGCTAACAAAGGTGGACTTTTACGACAACACAGTGCTGGTCATGATTCACTTCAAGGCTCCCTTGAGTCCCAAGGCGGGGGCGGTGGTGTCGGAAGTTCTTTAAGTGTTTCCGAGATGGAAACCAAATCGCATCAAGGTATACTATTCTTATGATCTTATCATCATTACACTTTGTTAAAACTTGAGTTCTAAGTAAAATGGATACATTAATCTGAAATCATTACACAACACAAAGTTAGTTTTCACCTTGTCGGAACCTGAAAGGCCATTTACTTAGTTTTCAAGATTTAAAGTTACAAATTTTTTTTTTTTTTTTTGTACCAATGTTAGTAATAAACAGGGTTGTTTTGGTTCATTACAGCAACTAGTGAAGAAGCAAGAAGCATACCATCGACACTACAACAAAAGGAAGCGATAACAAAGCCGACCACTCGGCTGAGAAGATTGAGTTCAGTGGAGATGAAGATAGAGCCACAACAAGGGAAAGGGAAAAGCGAGATGCCATGTGTGTTCACAAAAGGAGATGGACCTAATGGGAAGAGAGTTGATGGGATTCTGTATAGATATGGTAATGGAGAAGAAGTTAGGATCATGTGTGTCTGCCATGGCGACTTCTTGTCTCCTGCTGATTTCGTTAAACATGCTGGTGGTCCTCATGTTGATCATCCTCTTAGGCACATTGTTGTCAACACTTCTTCTCCTTCTAATCTCTTATAGAACCCACCGCCCTAACCCTCTCTCTTTCATTTGATCCCTTTATTTAAAGACCAGAGTTTAGAGATCATGTTTTAAGAGGTTTAGAACATACAACATATATGTTTTGTTTGAATCTCGCAATTTCCCAATATCTGAGAGTTTTATATTTGTATTTTTACCACTTTATAAAGAGGAGACTGCCAAGTCCCCAAGAGTTTCAATCAGGTAGATAAGGCGTTGTAATTGTTGTCCAAGAGTATGTTGCTCGATTTCAATGTCTCTTGTGAACACTGATCGTGAAGACAGACGAGAGAACACACGCTATATCAAGAGCAATCTTGTAAAGGATCTTACCTTTGTTGAAATCTTCAAGGTTCCCTCCGGATAAGTAGTTGTGGATGAGGAGCGTCACTGTTTCTCTTGCATGGTAACCATTTAACATAATGCCTTTGAAACTTCCCAACAGAACACATTGTTTTGGAGACACCTCTGGTTTTGTAATGTCAAACGAAAACCACTATGACTGATGCAGTTTGAGTTGCTGAAGTAAACAGTGACTCTAACTGATTCAGAGAGACAAGACCAACGTCCGAAAAGCACTTTGATCTCCTCGTGTAGAGAACAAGAGAAAGGAGGAACAGAAGTACGAAGACGGTGACTGAAGCTGACACGCCTAATGGAAGCCATCTCAATTGGAGGGAGACTCTTAAGACTCATGAGCTTTAGGGAGGGTAGTTCCCACGCCAAGTCAGTGTTTTATAGAGAAACAGAGAGGTCTCCACTGCTCCACATGGCTGCTTCTTGTACGGCCAGGCGGGCTAAGTGTAGGACCCACCTTCTTTTCATTGGTCCACGATTAGAATCCCACCGTATCTTGTCAGGGCTTTTAAGTCGAACGTGTATTCATTCCTCTGTGTATCTGCCTCACTATGACGTTTTATTTTACATCAGAAGAAATATGGCCCAATTGTTTTTTATTTGTCTCAAAAATAGTCCCTATGTTGCATAATGTTATTTCCCTGCTTCTTTGACTTGAAAACAACAGAAAACCATATTGTTTTAGTTTTTTTTTCTTTTCTTTTCCTTTGGTAAATGTTTTTCAATAAGCAAGAGACATTTTGATTTATGCAAATCTATAGGAAAAAAAATAGAGTTGGAAATAATCTTAACTAAAGTTTAAGGAGAGGAAGGAAAAGCAAATAATTCATGAGATCTTTTAGACACTGGCTTTTTTCAGTTTATGGTATTCTTCCTCAAGTTTTTGTGGGGGGGGGGGGGAGGCGTGTGAGGATGGCTGGTAGCCTGGTAGTTGTAGAAGAGAAAATGTTTGAGGAAAGAGTAAATTTCTGTTGAAGCTATGATCATTCTCTACTATGAGGAGACCACTTCCGCCATATTCAATCTGGTTTCAACTTTGTTTTAATATTAAAATATTAATTAACAATGAGTTAATCAAACAAGCTGGAATAGCTCAGTTGGTTAGAGCGTGTGGCTGTTAACCACAAGGTCGGAGGTTCGACCCCTCCTTCTAGCGTTTTATGTTTTTTTTATTGTGAAGAAATTATTCTTTAGAGCCCAAAAAGCATGAAAATTTATAACAACGATTAAACGAGTACTAAAGCCCATATCCAACGAGAAGAGCACAGGCGCACAGGCATATAATACAATCTTTCTCTCAATTCAAGTAAATGTAAGTTATGTAACTATATGTAGGATTCTGGCAATTTTTTGTTGTTGATGTAAATTAATACCATTTTTTCTTTGTATAACACCTTATCTATCTTAACTTGGAAAAAAAAAAATTATGTACTAGATGCCATTTTGAACCCAAACGGGAGACGCTTATATTTTGAGAAGTAAAAAAACATTTTTCTAATGATTATGAAGTTCAACCCGTATATATCATATCATAAGGCAATGTCTATACCATGTAACTCAACTCTGTTCATTTGAAACGAACATATGACTTACAAAATTCCGAATAATAGTTCAGTAGTTTTAACCACTAGACTAGTCGTTGGTGCATTCTGTTGAGAAACCACTCATAAAGCCGAGGAAGGTGTAAAAATAGACTATAGAGGACTCGCCGAAAAACATTGGTTTTTTAGATAGAATATGAGTGAGAAAGTGAACCCCTGGTTCCCCCATTCGCCCGCCTCCGTCCTGTTCCCCTCTGTTACTGCTGGTAGCTCCTCCCCTCCACCTGACCCACCGGACCCTCCCGACCCACCTTCCGCCACCAACCCTTCTTCCGATTTCCAATTCCCTACTTTGCAATCTACTTTTGCTTCTCCACCTCTGTCTAAAAAGCAAATTTCTCTTCTAAAAGGGACTGCTTCTTTAAGATCTGGAAATGGCAAATCCCCCTCACTAACTATCTCTTCCTCTCCTCCTGCAGTGGAATTTGAGAAAGAGCAAGTAGTAAATACTAGATCTGAAGAGATCCAATCTATTCCTGATGTTACTGTTCACAACAGTTTCAAGGGTTTCACTATACTACCTAAAAAGAACTCTCCCAATTACTTTTCAAACCCCGCTCTCTCGGAGAAAGCAATTTTCACCAGCCACAAATCTACCGTCAAACTCCCCCAACTAAACCCAAATCTTCCACCAAATCAAAACCCCCCCTCCATCTCCACAGCCACCAACCAACCCGCCGTCCCCACCTCCCAACCGGCAGCCCCCATACCAAATACCCCCATACCATCTACCTCCTACGCTCAAATAGCTAGACCTATAGCTGACAAAACCCTTAAAAGACTAGCACCCATATCATTCTCCGATAAAGGTGTTCCCCAAGTTACTATACCTGATGAAGTATTCCAGCGTGGAGCTGTACTACACAAAGAATTTATACTCGGCTCATTCCTTGCCAAGATGCCCTCCTATCAAGCGATTCAGAGTGTTTTGAATTTCATGTGGGGAAAAGGTCAAAAACTTGAGATTCGCACAAACAAGGAAGACAGAACAATCATGGTAAGGATCCCAAATGAATATATCCGCAGGAAAGTTCTTGAAAAAAGGATATGGTATGTTGGAACTGCCATGTTTCAGGTAACCCCCTGGTCTACTAATGGCTCCATCCCTGCTGTTGACATGGGATCCATCCCCCTTTGGGCGCATCTCAAAGGCCTTCCACTAGATTTGAGATCGCTAGAAGGCTTGAGTTTTGCAGCTGGTCTGATAGGCGAGCCAATAGAAACTGATGAGTTTACAAAGAACATCACAGACGTTCTTGTTGCGCACGTAAAGATTGAGGCAGACCTGACAAACCCTCTCCCAACTTTGATCGAGCTAAAAAGAACTTCTGGTGAGATCATTCCTGTACAAGTAGATTATCCCTGGACTCCTCCAGTTTGCTCTTTCTGCAAGCAAATTGGACATATTATCAAGGATTGTCTTACTGCCACATTTGTCTGGGTGGAGAAAACAAATGATCCCCCTACCCCAAAGAAATCCCCTGAGACCTCAGAAACACCCATCCTTAATATAGCCACCCCTGAAAAAAACAAATCACCGCAGACCAAACCCGACTCGCAGATGATAGATGCTTATCCCTCTCATATTATCTCTGACTCTGAGAAAGCTGATTTTGAGGCTGACCTCCATGAGATACTGTCTCCACACCATCAATCGTCTCCTGAGTTGCAAATATCAAACTTTTCCCCTTATCCCCCTGGTTTCAACCCTTTCTCCTCCTCCTCCCTCGTTCCCTCACCCTCTCCTTCCCTCCCCCTATCCCCAAACTCTCCTCCACCCATAACCTTCTCTTCGTCCACTTTAGAATCACATTTTGTTGTTGCTCTTGCCGCAAACCCCAACCCCATTCAAGCTAAAAGATCCACTCCTTTCAAACATAAAATTACCAAAAGACGGCCCATAACCTCTCCTACCCACCCCATCACTCTAAAAAATGCTTTTTCCTCCCTTGACCCTGGCCTCTTTGTGCCTCCGACTCCTCAAACTACCACCCCCCTGGCCTCTGCCCCCACTTTTTCAGATTTGCAAATTCCAGTCTCTTCATCCTCTGATCCAGAAACTCCTTTTGAAGGCTCCCTCCTACCCCAAGGAGAGACCCGGTCCCTTTCCCTATGAGTAATAAAATATTTTTTTGGAACGTCCGTGGTCTAAATGACCCGGATAAGCACAAACCTTTTTGTCAGTGGTTAGCCTCTAGCCAGGCCCACTTCGGTGCTATTTTGGAAACTCATATTAAAGAACCGCAACTCAATCATGTTCTCTCCAAAACTTGCAGAGGTTGGAATCATTTCTCGAACCATGCTTCCGATCATGACGGTAGAATCATCCTAATTTGGAAGCCTCATCTTACTGTCAACATTCTCCATCAATCGAGACAGTCTATCACCTGTGAAATAACCATCACTCCTCTGCAACGGTTTGTGCTAACAGCCTGCTATGCTGCAAACACAAGCGAGGAGCGCTCTGACTTATGGGTTGACCTAATAAATGTCCACCAGAATCATTGTCTCGACTCTTCTTCTTGGATCGTTGGAGGCGATTTTAACCAAATTCTACACTACTCTGAGCACTCCCTACCCTCCATAAACTATTTTGACCCCCATATGACCACCTTCCGTGACACCCTCTCCCACCTCAACCTTTTTGACCTTCGCTTTTCTGGCCCCCTGTTCACCTGGTCCAACAAATGCCCTGTCTCTCCTATAGCCAAGAAACTAGACAGAATACTCATAAACCAACCCTGGATCGCCGCTTTTCCCCACAGCCAAGCTTTTTTCCTAGCCCCTGAAATCTCAGACCACTCCCCTTCTGTTGTGGACCTAGCTGTAGACCTACCCGTTGCCGGAACCAAACCCTTCAAATTTTTTAACTACCTCACTAAGCATCCCCTCTTCTACCAGACAGTGTTGCAGGCGTGGGAACAGTCCGGAGGCATGGCTTGGAATCTTTCTCACTTGTGTTTCAAACTGAAAAATATAAAAAGAGAGTTAAAAACACTAAATAGAGAGAATTTTTCTAATATTCAGGAAAGAGTGAGAGAGACTAACATGCTGTTAAAAGTTGCGCAGGTACAGGCCTTAACAAACCCGTCGCAGGAGAACTTTCAAAGGGAGAAATCGCTCATGGAAAAATGGAACTTCCTAAGATCAATTGAGGAAAGCTACTTCCGTCAAAGATCTCGTATAAACTGGCTAAAGGAGGGAGATTTCAATACTACCTTCTTTCACCGATTGATGCAAGTACGAAACTCCTTCAACTCCATACGCTCATTCATCTTGCCATCTGGGGAGATTACCACAGATCCACTCCGTATGGGTTCCATGGCAATTGCACACTTCAGGCAACTGCTAGCACCCCAAACTCAGCTGACCTCTGAAACCTCGCCCCTCTGGATCCGGGAAATATCTGATTTCCGATGCCCTGCGGAAAATGCTCTAGCAATGATTACAATGCCTACAGACGAAGAAATTAAAAAGACAATGTTCAAGCTCAACTCGAACAAGGCACCGGGGCCTGATGGACTTACGTCGGGGTTTTTCAAAACGGCATGGAACGCAATAGGACAAGAGGTTACCTTGAGCATAAAAAACTTCTTCTACTCTGGTCTCCTCCCTTACGCTGTAAACTCCACCATTCTCACACTGGTCCCAAAGCGGATTGGAGCTTCTACGGTTTCTGACTATAGACCAATTGCTTGCTGCAATACAATCTATAAACTCATCTCAAAAATGCTCGTCAAGCGCCTCAAGCCTCTTCTCCCAAATCTCATCCTCCCAAACCAAACAGCTTTCGTCCAAGGAAGGCTGCTAGTTGAGAACACCATCTTAGCCTCTGAAATTGTCCACGGTTACCACAAGGATAGAGGACCTGCAAGAATCACAATCAAAGTGGATATTGCAAAAGCTTTTGATACTATTGACTGGAGCTTCATTTTCAATATGCTACAAGGAATTAATATCCCTAACGCTTACCTCATGTGGCTACATGCGTGTGTAACCACCCCGAGCTTCATGGTGGGTTTTAATGGCACTGTTCAAGGCTACTTTAGAAGCACCCGAGGACTGAGACAGGGAGACCCCCTATCCCCTTATCTGTTTGTTATGGCTATGAATTGTTTGTCTATTCTTCTTGACCAGGGAGCGGCAGAAGGGAAGTTTGGGTACCATCACCACTGCAAGAACTCCAAACTAACTCACCTATGTTTCGCGGACGATCTTCTCATCTTCTGTGATGGCTCACTAAAATCCGTAAAAAATGTGTTTCAGATTATTCAAGGTTTCACCGATGTCTCTGGACTTGCAGTAAGCGCCTCAAAGACCAGTTTCTTCTCCTGTGGTATTCAGCAACCTGAAATAGATCAAATAATCAATGAGACTGGTTTCACTCATGGTCTGCTTCCGGTAAGGTATCTTGGGGTACCTCTCACTACTAAAAAGCTATCTCTCACCAACTGTGAACCACTCATCCAGCAAGTAAAAAGCAAAGTGAACAGCTGGAGTGCTAGATCTCTCTCTTTTGCAGGGCGGCTTCTGCTAATAAACACAGTTATTGCAGGAATTTCAAATTTTTGGTGCTCTACTTTTACCATCCCAAAACAGTGCATCAAACAAATAAACTCTATTTGTGGAGCTTACCTCTGGAAAGGGACTTCAGAGGGCCATCACACAGCTCGAGTATCATGGGAAACAGTCACATTATCAAAAGAGGAGGGGGGTCTGGGCATCCGGGATCTCCATTACTGGAATAAATCTTGTACACTAAAGCTGATTTGGCTCTTGTTTTTTCGCTCAGGATCTATATGGGTTGCCTGGTTCACAAAACAGATTCTCAACGACTGCAAAAGCAACTTATGGACAATCAAGGAAAAACAATCTCACTCTTATGCAATCAAGAAACTTCTTCGAGTTAGAGAATATGCTTACCACTGGATTACCATCAAGATTGGTGATGGAGCTTCCACACGGTTTTGGTCTGACAACTGGAGCCCTTTTGGTAACATTAGGGAATTCCTTAATATTACCACTCCTTCGGCCTTGGGGATCCGCCAAAATGCGACTTTGGCTGACTTGTATTACAATGGAGGATGGCATCTCCCAGCTCCACGATCTGACTCACAGCTAGCCCTCCAAACTTTCCTCACTACTATTACTCCCTCTCAGGTGCAGGATAAATACGAGTGGATTCAAACAGGGAACTCTTCTCTGTTCAAAACTGGAAAAACCTATCAACTCATAAAGCCTCATTCTTCTCTGGTCTCCTGGCACAAGACAGTTTGGTTCTCACGAGGCATACCAAAGCACTGCTTCCTTGCGTGGCTGGTCACTCTTAATAGATGCCCTACAAGAGATCGGATCATCAGTTGGGGTCTCTCGACTAACCCTCACTGCCTTCTGTGCAACGCGGCACTTGAAACCAGGGACCATCTCTTCTTCGAGTGTCACTTCTCCTTCGCTGTGTGGGACTCTCTGGCTCGGAAAGCTCACTGTATACCGAACCACTCTTGGTCTCACAATCTTCAATATCTGGAGAGCAGATCCTGTTCCAAACCAGAAAGATGTCTCAGCCTCTTTGCATGGCAAGCAGCGATCTACTCTATCTGGACGGAACGAAACAAACGCCTCCATCAACAGCAATTCCGATCACCTTCATCCATCTCCACCGCTGCGTCTGCTCTCATAAAAAACAAAATATCCAGCTTCCGTGATCAAAACGCAGCTTTCTCTTCTTCACTCTTTCAGATTTGGATAGCAAATTAAAGGTTTTTCCACCGGTGATTTTTCATCCGATCCAACCTCTGCATGTCTCCTAGCGATTCTACTCCGTCGTTTTCTATTCCGACGGTTTTGCTAATTAGATTTGGGTCAAAACCAATCTATTTTCTGTAATGGGTCCCTGCCTTTCTACTTACTGGGCTCATGTCCAAAAATCTGTATTGGCTGACAAGCCCAAAACAATGCCTTCACGGGCACATATCATATAAATATATATAAGAAGCCTTTTTTCAAAAAAAAAAAAAATAGACTATAGAGATAGAAAAAAAGAGATGCGTGCATGATATTCTGTTGCTAATAATCAAAAGGTACTTTTAAGAATCAGCTTGAAAACAGAGGGATGATGATAGAAAGCAGCCCTGGAAAGAGATAGGGATCAGATTCTTGGCCACTACTAACCGCACCCGATTCCCAAACTCGTCCCCATAAACACTAACTTTCAAACAAAAGAATCCAAGAGATTCTCAAGTATTCAACTCCAAAGTCTTTTCTATTTTTAATATAGGATTGAGAGAAAATATTTGGGAACCAAAAGTTGATTAACTCGCCGTCTTTACTTCCCACGTTACTAACATAGTGTAAAGAACAAAACCTACAACGAAGGAGAAACTACTTTGATCTTTAGCTAATAATTTCACGTCCATTATGAGAAAATACAAAATATAAGCTCTGCTAATTGTAGTTTTATTTAGGTATCAAGGTAAAATCTCAAGTCATTGTAACCGCATTTATGTATGTCATCTTGATAAATAGAGAGACATGGTGGTACGTACTGAAAGATGAAAGATTCAAGGAAACAAAAGAGCATTACATCCTCCGGATTTACAATAATAAAGAAAAAACTCAATGTTTTAAAGTTGTACATCCCCAAGTTACTAGCTACGAACCAAAACATGTGTCTCGGCCAAACCTACTAAGGAAATCCCACTAACAAAGACGAGAGATTTGCGCAACCCATAACCTGTTGGCAAAATCTCATTACAACCGTGTGAGAAGAACATATGAGATGATGTCTTTCTAAACCACAAGCATCATAGCTACACCGGCTATTAAGAAGAACACCGTGTTACTACGGACTGATAACGTCACTCCAGCGCTTGGATCTAGTCCGCCGCTCCCGGTTGGTCCAAGTGTAGTGCCCGGGAACACCGATGATGAAGAGGAAGTTGGCATCCCAGTGGAAGTGGAAGGAGTCCCAGTGTTGGGCATCCCACTGGTGGGAGTCCCCGTGGTTGGAGTTCCGGTTGAAGGAGTCCCAGTGGATGGGAAGCCACTGGTTGGTGTCCCTGTGCTTGGGGTCCCTGTGCTTGGAGTCCCGGTACTTGGTGTCCCTGTTGTTGGGGTCCCAGTAGATGGGGTCCCACTAGAGCTGCAAAGTAGTCAAAAACATGAGTGATTATTTATTAAAAAAATAACTAAAGATGTATCAAAACCGATAATACACATCTGGATCATGTGAATGATTGTATGTGTTATATCATGTGCTTTTTGATTTTTAGTGAGGGTGAGAGTGAAATGAACATGAATGATCCATTTTTTATCATGATTCCTTGTCTATTCGTTTGGTCTTAAATCACTATCATTGTGTCTCCACAAAATTCAACTTTAAGAAACGTAAATAAAATTAGAATAAAATTGTTAGTCGGTAGCAAATCTATCTACACAGAAAGTACAGTTTCTTTTAAGACTTTTAAGATCTACATCTAAAGGCAAGGAACAAGAATGAATAAAGACAAACAAAAAACATACCTGGAACCAGTTAAACAGCTTGAAGCCGCTGCAGTAAAAAAACAGAGTAAATCAGTAAAAAAATCAGTAAAAAAATCACCAAAAAAAAAACTTAAAGTGGGTTATGTAATAAAGATGGACTACTTGATGGAGCGGAGCTAGAGAGGACAGCGGCGCCGTTAAAGTCACAGGTAGCGCCGGAGGAAGCTTTCTTTTGGTAGTAACTGTTGATGGCGACGTCACAGTGGTTTTTGACGGTGTTAGGCTGGTAACAAGCTCCGTTTTGCTGGATCTGAGTACAATCAGCTCCTGCTCCACAAGCGTAGTCTATTGCCTTTTGAAGTACTTGCTCGTTTCCGTCTTTGCACACACAGTACGCCGCATCTTTTTCCCAAACAAAGAAAAAAATCAAGAACATTAGAACTAAACCCAGAAAAAAAAAACAAGATTCCAAAGTTTCACATCTCTTTTATTTTACTTTTACCAGACAAGATTTAACAGAGAGATCTAATACTAAACTTCTGAAATTTTGTTGTGAGCAAAAAGAACTAACAAAAGGAGAATATAATGAACATAATGGTTAATACAAGAAGAGGATATTAAAGTCTTACTTGAATAGGCAACCATGGAGATAATCAGACACAAAGGAAGTAGTAACGACATGACTGTGTTGATGTTTAGAGATCTCTTGCGGTAGAGCAGGCAAGTGTTTTTGAGAATTACAAAGGAACAGAAGGCTCAGATCGAACTTGTTTTTGAGACAGTGCCTTTTGAGAGAAAGAGAGAGAGAGTTGTAGACAATAAAGGCAAGTGTGGCGGTGTGGTGGTGTGGTGTTGATATATAATTAGAGACACGACCATTGTCCAACACTTTTCTCTTTTTTTTTTTGAGCAAAGTCCAACACTTTTCTTTTTGATTTATTTTCTTAAGCATCATATTAATAAAAAACAACAATCAGTACATTTTCACACTTGCAAGTAAGTTATTTTTTTCAATGAACAAAAGTGTAAGAGTAAAAATGATGAGTAACTGATGGTAAAAAGTTTAAGAACCAATGTAAGTTGTAATGCAGTGGAGGAATAAAAAAACTAAAATCATTGTTGTCTTGTAGTGTAGTGCTGTGTGTTGTGAAAACTATTCGGGGACACCGAAAGATTATAGTACAAGGGGACCATACCTCTTCTTTTATTTATCAATTTTGCCAACTCGATTTACGTAGCTCAGATGAGTTCTCTTAGAGCACTTTTCTTTGTAGTTTAAAGTCATTTATTAGCAACGGTCAAAAGTTACGGGGTGTTATGTATGAACTAGAACATACTCACTACTTTTATATAGTTTTCATGAAAACGACTTATTATATAAATTTCGGTTCTATACTACTTTTTTTCTAGGAAACTACAGGTACTAATTCAATCCATCCACTCGTACCAGAATCAGACTACATTTCTTAAAGAACACATTCAAAGAGAAAATAGTTTAGAAGGCAAGACCTAACGGTAACAAAAAGAGAAAGGAAAAGAAACTCAGAGAACTGGGACTGAGCCTGTGAGCCATGTGCACAAGACAATCTTTGCCGATGCTAGGACACGTGTGATGTGGCACACACAACACAAATTTACACACCAAAGTACTGTTTTATTTCTTTTATTATTTTCTTATTTTTAAAGTAATTTTCTACTTTTATGTTTGTCCGGATATTCTTGTAAGGAGAGCTGGTGAAAGTCGGTGCCTCAGCTTTTCAATGAACATATTTATCAAAAATGAAATTCAATATCAAACATATTCTGAACGTCGGTTGCTTTTGGGTTTCTTGTACTCCCATGGAAACTATGTTGGGCCTTAAGTTTTGCAATATACGTGTGTTTTGAGATTGGTGTACTGTGTGATCCACAGACCTTGTTCTATTCTGTGGATTGTGGTTGTATAATCATTGTAAACATGTGGATACACGTAAGCATTTTTATAGAATTTTCTGATGTATTTGCACCGTATTTGAAGTTTGATTATAAAATATATGCATTTTGTTGTTGTTATAAATGTCACTGTATTGTAGATTTTAGTATTGTGCAATTAAAACTATCAAAAAGATCTAGTTTGTCTTATCTTAGCTGTAGTGGAGATCAGTCTTCATCCTTCAGCGTATAGCAGCAAAAGTTGTATATTGCATAAACGTGTGTAGACTCACTCAGTGAAGTAACAAGTTAAAAGGTTTGCTGAGAAGTTGGTTTGAAGTGTGTTCCCAAGTTAATTAATTTGCCACCCAGTTCTTTGTGGTCACGTTAGACCATGTATATTGAAGGATCATGGCCAAGATTCACACAGTTTTCAAGAAAAAAATATATTAAAATAATGTTTTGTCCATGATCCTATCTCTCTCCAGTTCTTTTTTGTGAACCTGTGAAGTGTGGAGTCATCACTGTTTTACGAGTCTCACGTCACGTGGCGGCCCGCTATTGGTCAATGCAATTATTATTATTAGCCTTTTTTTTTGCAAAATCAAACAAAAAAAAATAATAATAAAAAATTTCAATTATGAACTCCAATAAGGGATTCATTAATACACTTGCTCTAACATTTATTCTTCATAAGGCATTTAAGATTTATAGCTTTATAGCTCTGTAGTGTCTTTTCACTTGTAAATGCCTATCATTGTTTAATTAATATAAAATTTAATCAGAAAATATATGCTTCAGGGTGACGATTTTAATTTTTTTTGTGGATTGTCCAATGTGCATATGATTTCTGATTATATCTTGCTGCCTTTGGTACAGGTGCATTGGATCCATGTCGTCTTAGTCTGTGTGGATGATACGATTTTTTCACAACCCAAATCATAGGTAGTGTTACGGTTGAAATATTAATTCGTAGAGGTTTCTGTACAAAAAATCTTGGATTGCTGAAATTTATTTATTTATCTTTTAAGCATAATTCATTATTATAACTCTAATGAATTGCGTTGCCTCAAATTGGATTCTCGAATTTCAATTGGGGATATAAAGTTGCAATTCTAGTTCTTTAACATGGATTATTTATGGATGCACTGGCAATCTGAAAAGGTGGTAAAAGTAAACTAACTATATTACCCTAAAGTATAAAGATACAAGTTTAAAATAATTGTAAGAACTCGAAAAAGTTAAGTAAAAATTTATCCAAAAATCGTCCATGTTTTCTCTTCTCAAGCGCACAAACATGCTCGACATGTTGCTCATATAAGTCAGTAGATATATCAAACTTGACTCACATCAAAATTATACTATATACACTCATATATATATAAATATCTTTGTATATGTATATACCTTAAGTGCAATTTAATTTTAGCGGTGGTGAGACGCCTTTGATCAACAATAAAATAATATAAAGAGATCTATGCTTACAACCCGGTGTGGCCATATTGTTTTCCCGTCCGCAGTATCTCCACAATGAGTTAGCACCTCCTTAGCTTTTTTCAAGGTTATGATGATTTGCTGATGGTACCTGGGAGATTATCCAAGAACGCAGACATATTTCTATGTCATTTTTTCTTTCAAAATAATAAAACATACAAGAACACTTCCCTATTGATATTATGTAATATAATATCTTCATTTGTTTTGTTATTGATGTGGTTAATGATAATTTTTTTCATGTGGTTAATTTGTCTAACTTTTTATAACAAATGTTCCAAGTCAATACTGTAAGTACTTAATAAAGGGTTTTACTCGTGGAGCTAAGATGCTCATATATTCCTCTTCTTAATTATTTTCTCCCATTTTACTTTCTTGGCTGTCTTTAGCTAAAACAGGAAGCATTTATTCTTATGACCCCTAACACAGTACCCTCGGAACTTATACCATATACATGCGGCGCCTCATGCATACATGTACATAGAATAAAGGTATGCACCAGGACATATATTTATACATCCAATTAAGTTGATGTGATTACACAATATTAAGGGTTATATATATAACTGAAAACAAGAGATTCAAGATCAGAGGACACTGAGTGGAGTAGCTGTGCTTAGTTAATAATATTTGTTGACATTTCGATAATTATGCCGACCCATTTAGGTTCACCAATACCTTACATAAGTAAGCCTATATATATGCCTTAGAGCAAGAGGAGTAAGACAAAAGAGCACTATATATCAGTGCTTGATCCTAATTGAATCACTTCTAAATAATAATTAACATGTATACAAATATATATAGAGAGAGAGAGAGAGAGGCGACCATCCATTTATTAACATGCGTCATCCAACTTTTATATGTTATGAAAAGGGACTGGCCGACATATCTATCAAGTGATCTAAATTATTCCAAAGAGAGATGATGGTGCATCAGTGATAAGACTAACACGATATTGATTCTCATATATATTCATCAGTACATCTACATCACTATATCATATAGACTTTTATGCCTTTGTGGTCCATTAAAAGTTTTAAACCCTCGGGAACCAAAAGAAATATTACTTTATCTATTTATAGAATTCACTCCCAATCCTATAGATGAACACTAATTAACAAGTTCAAATATATATCTAGGAGATGTACCTCAAGGATTGCGCATGGTTTGAGGTACAATATCACCAAGTAAGCCTTCTTCTGATGGATTAATAGACGATACTGCAACATGTCCGTCTTCAGTAGTAGATTGGGGTGGTCGCGGTGAAGAAGTATTGACTCCGTCACGTTGGTGAAGGAGTTCTTGGTAATAATAAGGATTTGGCAATGGAGGAGGGAGATAATGATGGGACGTGAAGAAATGAGGGTCGTGAGCTGTGAGGATTCCGCCTCGAGGGAATCCAACGGTTTGGTGGCAATGTTGTCCTTCGTATGTTGTGATCACTATCGATGGATCTTCAGATGATCGTTCAACTCTCTTCTTCACGGTGCATCTGCTGTTCGTACATCTATAGTAGCTCCTACATACAACAATCTCTATAATATTATTTGAGAAGTCATGTGGCGTGTTCACGTTGACTCTTATACCGGTTGATTACTATGATACCCTTGATGAATATATTTAAATAGTATATTTAAATAATATTATTAATTTTATGTTTAGTTTCCTTTTTAAAACATTCCAAATAATTTTTATAATAAAAAAAAGAAAAAAACGAAAATATATGTTTATATAATATGATTTAATTAAAAAGGAAAGTTCACAAAATAGTAATATACTATCAAAATAGTAAAATAGTATTATTAATTTTGTATTTAGTTTCCTTTTTAAAAATTTCCAACTAGAATTTATAATAGAAAAAAATAGCTATAAAATTTAAAAGGAAAAATTAAAAAACGAAAATATATGTTTATATAATATGATTTTATTAAAAGGGAAAATTAACAAAATAGTAACATCCATTAAAAATATTTTAAATAACATAAAATGTACTTTTTAATTAATAAAATACTTTCTTTATATCTGTTTTTTCTTATATGAAAATATCTATTTTTATATAATGTGATTTCATAACAAAAAATTCACACATATAATTTTGATATTTGAAAAAAAAAATTACTTTTAAACATAATTTTAAGTAACATAAACAAGTATATGTTTTTATCAACTAAAATAGTTTTTAATTAAAATTATTGAATATTTTATTTATTCTCATATATTTAGTTGACTATAGTATCTTTCAACTAAAGCAAAAAAAAAAATATCTATAAATTAAATTTTACTTATATAATATGATTTCTCAAATACAACCACAATTTTACTGCTTATTTTTAAGAGAAATTAAAATATTTTTTAACAATAAACATCTTTTAATCAAATAATTACAAAATATTTTAAAATATCATACCACTATATACTTTAATGACATAGATATGTTATATTCTATCATTATTTAAATTATATGTTTCTTAATTTTAAATTTTTTAAAAAAAAATTATGTTTGTGTAACTTAATATAACCATAATAAAAATACCAAAGCAAATCCGAATTCTCATTTTTAAGATTATTTAAAATAATTTCAGTTTATCATTCAATAAATCTAAGATATAAAATTATTTAGAATTTATAAAATATTTTAGTTATTTTAAATATTGATATGTGTTCATGAATCTCCAAAAATATATGAGTTACTTAAGTATGTAACTTCCTACTGATTATTGCTTTATTTTCTACTATATTTTAAAGAAACATATAACTTGATAAATATTATGAAAATACGTGCACATTTAAATGATAAATAATATTACTTTAATTTGATTTATTTTGTGAAATTTATATATATACATGAGACTTTAAATATTATCTTTATATCGATTGATGTAATTTGAAATCAAAATTATTTTATATTTCATTATAGGCATAATATATCTTAAGTTATAAACAACTTTTCTAAAATATATTAACATCCGAGACAGCAAACAACCTAAAAGTAAATAATAGAATTAATCAAAATTTAATATGTTTAGAATAAAAAATATTATAGTTGAATTCAGATAAAAGAATGTAATCTAATATACCCAAATAATAATAATAAAATCGACTATAAAATAATAAAATTGACTAGATATAATATTTCTAAAATAATATGTCTAATTAAAGTAAAATAATATTATTAATATAAATCNAAAAGTAAATAATAGAATTAATCAAAATTTAATATGTTTAGAATAAAAAATATTATAGTTGAATTCAGATAAAAGAATGTAATCTAATATACCCAAATAATAATAATAAAATCGACTATAAAATAATAAAATTGACTAGATATAATATTTCTAAAATAATATGTCTAATTAAAGTAAAATAATATTATTAATATAAATCATGTATGCAAATTATAAATTAATTGAAAATTAAATGTAAATAGTAATAAATTATTATAGTATATTTACTTAATAAATATTTATACCCGTGCATGAGCACGGGTAAATCACCTAGTAGTAAAAAACTGTTTGATATGATCTACTGATGATCTCTCATGTACCATGTATATATGTAATTTTCCTTTAGAAGATAATATATATAACTAGAACTCATTGGCTAAAGAAGTTAAGATAATTAGAAGAAAGTGAGAATAGCTAGGAAACCTTGGGAATGAGCTATTCTTGACAGCTTTCTGTCCATATTTACGCCAACGATATCCATCTTCGAGATTATCCACATCACTCTTGGTCATGAATGCGAATCTTTGTTGCCTGATTCGCTTTTGCGCCTGCTTTTTCTCCTTCTTTCTAAAAAAAAACATCAAAAGATTATCAATATAGCACCATGCAGCAGAAATCACAGAATAACCAATCAATCCGTCAAAAACATTGATTCTGTAATGCTAATGCCACCATAGTCAAACTACCAAAAAAAGATATTTAATAGTATTAATTTCATTAACTTTTTTTGTTTCATTAATTAACGTTCAAGATTTCATTAACTTAAACGTTTATTGAGTTTAAAACGCAGAATCATGATCATCAGCATCTTATTTTACATTGCTATAATGATGTCAAATCTTGCTCATCTGCACTCCAAAACACTACATATCAATTAGGGTATTTGATATTCTCATGGTTTACAAACTACAAAACGACATGAGAATTTTAAAACAATTCAGGGGTTTTCTTTAACACTTTGCAATGCATACTAATATTAAAACGTGAGACACTTTTTGACCTAATTTTAGTTTAATAAAAGAAAAGACGAGGAGGAGGATGCAAAAAAAGGAGATCGATGTAGAGTGCACGCTAACATCACACACACAGCCGCAATAGCGGCGATGCAGTGTACTCATCATCAATTCATCATTATTATGTTTTCCATCTCTAAACTGTCACCGAGGATTCATCATACTGATGATTGACTCTGCTATATTATATTTGTACGGACGAATCCATTCTTCTAGCGATGTGAAAAACAAAAAAAAATAACAAAGGAGAATGTATTTATTTTTATTCGCTTTGGCCCCAAGTTGAAAACCCTTCCCGACCACCACCACCACCACCAAGATGATGAGTAAAATTACGATCGCACCCCTGCAAAAAGAATAAGAAAGACCCCCACGTGTTTCTCGTGTAGGAAAAGTTAAAGAAACTCACGGTGTTATCGCAGCAGAGGCGGTTGAGTTCTCGGTTGGATCCTCGCTTGAGCTAGAAGTAGCGGGAGGATTATGAGACATAGTTGAAACCTCTGTAAGGGCAACAGAGGCGGCGGCCGACGAGGAACATGATGAGGTTGGAATGAGCTCGTGAGGCGTTGAAGTGGAGGTAAAGGAAGATAGAACACCGACGGTTTCTGTAGCGTGGAGGTTCCAGTTGAAGTCAGAGAGGATGTCTGAAGTGTCTCTGTCGTCGTAGAAGTCTGGAGATATGAGTTCTCTCCAAGCTGAGTCGTTGGTTAGATCGGGATTTTCAGAATTATTCATGATAAAACCTTGAGAGATAAAAGAGAGGTGGAGAGAAAAAGAAAGAAGCTAAGTTAGGGTTTGTTTGCGATTGGAAGAGAGGAAGAAAAGAGAAGAGCAAAAACTTTAAAACTTTGAAGAATCCCGTTAAAGTGCTGTCAGTGTCTCATCAAACACCGATCAGACTTTAGTTTCTCTCTCTTTACAGTTTTTTATCTTTTTACTTTTTTAAATTTTTTTAATGAAATTGAATAATGGGAAATTGGAGCGTATAGCCATGAAAAAAAGTATAATTCACAAACTAGCTATTTCCCCTAACAGTCATATACACGCCGTTATATATACATAATAATACTGTAATACCCCTTTTTTTAACGGCATAACCTACTCAACAAAAAATAAAATATTAATAATCAGATGCACAAAAATAAAACGTGGCTTACCTAACCCCACATCTTCCCCTTCTTCTTCTTTTTCTTTCCTTTCGTAACTTTCTCAGAGTTGAAAGATCACTGACACAGATTTTCTCCGCAGCGCCTTCTCTGCCTCATTTTGAAAGTTTTGCCATGTCCATCATACTCCCATTCCAATTGTGTACTTTTCTCCGCTTGTGCCATCCACCGACATCGTACGGCGCGTTACAGCAACGGTTAGTAACAAACTCTTCTTATTTTCCTTTTCTATTTGGGCTATTGACGGAATTAGGAAATTATGATTGATAAATCTACAACCTCGTCACTATTGCATGTTGGATCTGATTTTTGTGTTGAAGTTCGCCAATTGATTTAGAGATTTGGTTTCTCCGGTTGTTGTTAATTTTGCATTTTAGGATTTATACATAGTAAATAGTATAGTAATATAGTTTGTTGTATAGAATAGCATATGTAATACAACTTATTTACGTGAAATCTCTTATGCCTATTTTATTTGAGATGGAATAGAAACAATATATGTTCAACCTATTCTATTTAAGATGGAATCGATTGATAAACTATTCTACTTGCGATGGAACTGAATGATGCTCTAGCATTCATTATCAACAATCATATTGTTTGAAATATAAAATATTATTTTCTATATATAATAGAATTAAATACTCTATCATAACCATGCTTCCTTCTTACTTTGTTCTTCAGGTTTGACATGGGCGATTTTCCTCCTAAATAGATTGTTTGAGACATGTTTTCAACCCACATGGAAAAAGTATTAACAACTATTTCAACCTGCGTTGAATTGAGGTGATCAAAAATGCATCAGAGGATTCAATTTCTTGATATGCGTTTTGTATTGGTGTATATATTTGTTTTATATTAATGTGTATATGATTTTGTAAAGAGAAATAATTTATTGAACGTAAATGGAATATAATTTATCATAACAATAAATAAAACATACTATAATGATATTTATATGATGTTGTTTCTTCCACCTCTTTTCTTGAATACCGTCAATCTTGTGTTTTCGCTGCAATCAATCTAAATTAGGTGTAAGCAAGACTTCTTTCCTTGCAATTATAGACATTTCAAAGTTTGAACAATATGTACCGTGTTATATCGTTTGTCATTTTTCTGTTCTATATGCTCATGTAGAATGGAAATGCATCTTATTAGCATTTCAAAATTTGGGGGTAGCTTATGAAAGATTGGGGTTGACATTAGATTAGGGTTTAGGGTTTATATTTCTATGTAGGGTTTAGTGATTTGAAGCTTTGATTTAGTTTAATATTTGGATTTGGGTTTAGAGATTCAGATTTATGGTTTAATATTTGGATTGTAGTTTAGGGTCTAGGTGCATATTTCTCTACCTTTTGTTTAGTGGGGTAAACAAAAGAAAAAGATTAACAACTACATGATATGTTCTATTTTGTATTCTATATGACTATGCAAGTAGAAAAATAACATAATATACTACTTTAAAAATAAAATAATGTAGACAATGTAATTTGTAAATATAATGAATTTCATTGGGGTTTATATGGTTTTTTTATATTATTTTTCTATTATATGTTATATATGTTTCATACACACATTGTTATATGGATCATAACACATTTAATTTTTTCTTATCCGTCTTAGATTTGTAATGAAAGCTTTAGAGCTACCAAAAAAATATATGAAACTGGCTTTGACAAGCTCGCCACCCATATCCTCAAGCTTACCACCCATATTCTACTGGGTTTAGATTTAGTAAGTAGATTTTTTTAGGTTTTAGTATTTAAGCATAATAAGAGCTAATAGAAATGGAGTAAATTGTTCATGCTATACTATTTATAAATGTTCCATACTATGTATAGTACATTACAAGATATTTGCAGCATATTATATAGATTATGTTTAGATTTATAGATCAGTGATTAGGGTTTAGATTTAGTAATAACAATTTTGTCTTGCGTCTTAGTATTTAAGCATTTTAAAAACTAAAATGGAGTAAAATGACTCTTCTATTCTATTTATAGATGTTCCATACTATATCTAATACATAATTATTTATAGATCCATACTATATCTAATACATAATGAGAAATTTGCATCATATCATATAGATTCTATTTGGGTTTATAGATCAGTGATTAGGGTTTAGATTTAGTAAATAGCTTTTTTTTTTGTTTTAGTATTTAAGCACAATAAGAGCTAATAGAAATAGAGTAAATTGTTCCTGCTATACTATTTATAAATGTTCCAAACTATGTATAGTAAGTACGAGATATTTGCAGCATATTATATAGATTATGTTTGGGTTTATAGATCAGTGATTAGGGTTTAGATTTAGTAATAAAAAGTTTGTCTTGCGTTTTAGTATTTAAGCATTTTAAGAACTAAAATGGAGAAAAATGACTCTTCTATTCTATTTATAGATGTTTCATACTATATCTAGTACAAATTTGCATCATATTATATAGATTTTATTTGGATTTATGGATCATTGATTAGGGTTTAGATTTAGTAAGTAATTTTTTTTTTGGTTTTAGTATTTAAGCATAATAAGAGCTAATAGAAATAGAGTAAATTGTTCTTGCTATACTATTTATAAATGTTCAATACTATATATAGTACAGTACGAGATATTTGCAGCATATTATATAGATTATGTTTGGGTTTATAGATGAGTTATTAGGGTCTAGATTTAGTAATCAAGGGTTTTTCTTGGGTTTTAGTATTTATTATATTGGGTAGGGTTTGATACTTGCAGGCCATACTATGTCATAAATAATATACTATTCGCTTTTCATTCCGCCTGACCATATGTTATGTTCCACATATTTAAATTCTATATTATATCAAATGGTACAATTCTAATTGCATATGTTACTTATTTACTGGCGTATAATATTTTGGATTATGGTTTATTTTACTTCATATAGTGAATAAATATGAGACTGAAGTATTGTTTAGTATTTATGGATTATGGGTATGATTTGAATCTCATACTATTTCAGTGATATGGAATAGAATATTTTGTGCATTTGTAAGAAGCTAACAAACGTGTAACGTGGTGTCTTATCCTTCTTTAATATATAATAGTTTTCAGTCACTTCTGACCATATGTTATTTCTTCTACGTATAATACAGACTAGATCATAACCCGCCCTACTGGGCGGGTCTTTGTTTTTATGGTATATATAACATTTGAAAATTACAATTTAATGGTTCCAATTTTACTAAGTAATAGTCTACTGTTTAAACATTGTATTTTATCACTGTATTGTATAATATGGGCGCCGTAAAATATTGTGACCCGTAAATATTTTAGTAATAGTTTATAAAGTTTTTTTTGGCTAAATTTGGTGCAAAGTTATATACACTAAATAATTTAGTCAAATTTTTAAGTTAATTTTTTAATGAAGAATTGGAAGGCTAGTATATCACTGTTAAAAAATTATAACAATAGTCAATATAAATTATATAAATAAAATTTATATTATTCTTGATTTGTTCTAAATACATTTAAAACATGAATACATATATGTATAAATAATTTTCAAAAGTAAAGTAATATCAATGATAGAAAACCCAAAAATAATAATAATAGTACATTGGGCCACAATAATCTTTAGTTTAATAAATAAGCCCATTAAATTTGAAGGCTATCCTTGTTTCCAATCATCATAATTTTAAATATTTCCTATTCATGTTTCCAAACACGTAAATTTTTGTACTTCAGCTTTAATAGTATAGATTTGTTTACCGGGTAACTGAGAAAGAAAAGGGTATAACCGGATAATTTGGGATGAAAATGTTAGATTTTACATTATGTCAAAATCATTGCTATCTACCTAATTTTACTACCAAATATGGCTACTACACAAATAAGCCCTTGAATAATAATAATAATTCACGAGGGAGAGGAGCCAAGGCAAAAAAGAAAGGCGTTGAAGAAAGAGAAATTGCATCATACACATAAGAAGAATACGGTAATTAGCATAATACACATATGGGTATTTTCTAGTTATTGTCGCCTTGTTGTTAGACGAAACTACCCCTATTAGACATCTAGATCACCTTCTAATCCTTACCCCCACATATTTTTAGCCTCCGTTCCTAACCAATCGTAATTACATGCAAAAGGTTTTCTGTCAGTCAAGTTGCATTATTATTTTGTTTTTTCACTTAAAATAATTCGATAGTGATAATCCCATTACTTCTCCTTTGTCTATTTAAACTCAACTGTTACTTTCGCCATTGAAACCCATCAGTTTCTTTCCTCAACTATAAAAATCTCCATTCTTTCCATTCCAACATTAACACCCTTTCTCATTTTCATAAAAATGTCGTCGATCGATTTTCCTAAGAGAATGTTTGCGATCGGCGAAGAACCTATTGGTATTAGGGTCACTCCATATCACAAACCTAAAATCATCTCAAAAATCATCAATGCCTTAGAAGAAGAAGAAATCGCCATCATCAAACAATCCCCCTTTGGGAAAATACTGTCGATTGAAGAAAAACCCTATTTTTCTGGTCGTTTAGGGCGTTTTATTATATCCAGACAATTAAAAACCCTCAAGAAGTACGAAATCTGGTTTCTATTCGCTGGTAAACCTATCAGATTCTCTTTGAGAGAATTCGCGTTGGTGACTGGTCTTAATTGCAACCGATTCCCACCACACTCGAAGAAGAGGAGCAACAAGAACTTATCTGCGAAA